CTATACTAGGATAATTATAAAAAAAAAGCTAGTAACTAGGAATAGCTAGTTAAATATTTAAAGGTTAATTTAAATTTTTAAAAAGTAATTAAAGTTAAAATTTAAATTAGGAAACCTAGAGGTATTATAGTGCTTTTAAAAGTTTTAAAACTTTTTAATTATTAAAAAAACTTATTTTTATTAAAAAATTAAATATATGTGGCCCTAGGAAGCGGGTGTTTATAAAATTAAAAATTAATTAAAAAGGTAAAAAAAAAAATAAAAAATTTAAGGTAAAAAAAAATAAAGTTATAATATTTATACTTTTATAATAAAGGCCTTGCCTTAAGTATAAGGCTTTTTAATTATTATAATAACTAGTAAAGTTATAAAAAAATATAAAGCTAAATAGGTAAAATAAAAAAATATTATATATTTAATTAGTATAAATTAACTTAAAAAAAAAAACTTTTAATTAAGTGTATAAGTTAAGCAAACCTGGGCTTATAACTTACTAAAAAAAATAATTAATTATAATAAGTAAAAGTCTCTTATATTACTTAGTGTACTAAGCTAAATATTTTAAAAATAAATAAAAAGTTTTACAGGTGGCTATTTAGGCCGGAAGAACCTTCCTTTACCGGAGCCCTAAGGCCACCGGAGCCCTAAGGCCGCCGGTGGCCTCAGGCACCCACTTCCAGCACGGCGTGAGAGTCTGACGTGTTGCGGGCCGTTGGGTTCGTTGTGCACGGTCGGCGGCGTTGTTGGGAGCATTTCCACTGTTTCCTCTCCTGCTCTGGAGGACTCCATGCTGGCAATCATTCCCGCGGTTATCCTAGACAAGATGAGAAAAAGTTCATCGAAGAGCGAAGTGCGGTTTACGGTGGTTCAGCCAGTGCGAGGGTTGCCTCATTTCTTATTCAACCCTCAACCCAGCCTTGTGGTGGAACAGGGGCTCTAGCCTGCCTAGCAGTAACTGCAAATAGAGCCCCATGTCAGTTCTGATTCGTAGTTGCGCAGAATGCATGTCAGATTCGTTCTATCTTTGGATTCCAGCGAGGCAGACCCAGCCTTGCCTGTCTCCGTGTAACTTCTCGGCCTTTTAGGCCTTTTAGAAGGACGTCTGAGCCGCCCATTATGTGGTACAAACGCAATGTCATCCACTTGTTTACGATTGTTCTGCACCAAGGTCAGGGATTGCCTGGCAGTGATACTTGGACTTGTTGGAGCCAACTCAGGAGCTACCGCGTCGTAAGAAATTGTCTGATGTAGGAAGATATTGCCTCCCACTGTTTCACATAGCTGGCCGATATCTCACCTAGGCGAAGAGTTGCTCTATGAGCTTGAGCTTCAGTAAGGCCTAGACCATTGGCCACCAGCCGAATTTGATCTATTGCTAGGGGAACGGGAGAGGCTGACCGCGGCCTGTGAGGTTGAACAGGCTAAGACAGTCATGCGGTTTGCTCTCCTTAAACGCCGGATCGCTATACCTCTGAATACTGTATCTTTTGATCCTTGTTCCATCCAATGGTTCCACGATATGACTCTTTACCCAGTATCACAAGGAAACAACGGGGCCGGGGCCAAAACAAGGGCTTTTGGGAGAGGCTCTGCACGGTCAGCGTTGGGGACAACAGAAGATTTTTTCGGCTAAGCAGATTTACTTACACATGCTCCAGGGATGGAAGCAAGGCCGAACAAGCATTCCCCAGGATCTTATTGTTGGCGGATAGAGCCGCGTAACGTGGGGGTTCCCTTTGTTACCCCGGTCCCTGGGCATTTGTACTGTTGTACAGCAAAAGCTATCTGGGAAACATTGGAACTCACCGTGTTGGGAATTTGAGCATGTCCTGAGCTCTTTCTTGGCTGATTTAACTTAAGAAGGGCCCGTTATAGTAGTCTGGATGTCCACAATAGGATATTATTTGAGTTAACCTTCGAAGGTTCAATGACTTGTTTTTTTAAGCTTGCGTTATAGATGGACTTGCATCAGCCTCAACAATGATTCGATTCCCGCAGTGGTAGTACCAGTGTACGCTATTCATCGTTTCCTTGGGCCTCAAGGCCATTTTATGCCCAAGCGGACAAGCGCCCGGGCGGAGAGTCGGGCATCAGGAATCCATGACTCAGGAGGCGACATTCCAGGTCCCCTGTGGAGCCGATTAAGCTCGGAGCTAGCTGTCCTGGCCCCGGTGCATTTGCCGTTTGCAGTTTGGTCCATGCCCTGGATTCGATGCGTGACATCTCATCGATTGTCGATCGCCGATCGCCTGCAGTCCCCAAGAATCATCCATGCAGGGACTGAGGCATGGGCTCGAAGGATTTGTATAGAACCTGATACAAAGCAAGCTAGCAGCCATCACAAAGCCATAGCCCAGCAACCGCTTCGTGAGTACTGCTCTAGAGAATGACAGCTGCCATGGATCGGCCCATCCATCGGCAGGCACTAATCCGCCCCTAGCGAGTCCAGACCCTCAAGCCCCAGTTTTCAACCTTTCAGCCCTTCTGGAAGCTGGAACAGACTTAAACCTGGCCTCAGCCGCACGAGGCCCAAACTTTGACTTTGTTAAAAGCCCCCTGCCGCCGCCCCGGCTTTTCCTTGAACTTTGAAGCTTGACCCCTGCAGCTGCCACCTGCATACAAAGAACCCAGCCCTATGGGTCACGGCAGGGAAGGACGACTTATCCGAAAATGGCCGCCCTGATTCGGACCCTGTATTTCCTATCCGCATCCTTTCATCACGAATACAATGACGACAATGGCGTTGTCCCAGGAACACCAGCAGCGCTGCACCCCCGCCACAACGCACCACCACCACCACGCTACGAGCTCATAACCGGCAGCACAAAAGCCGGCTTCATCGCGCTCGGCACCTGCGGGCTAATCTCGCTACTCGCAACAGCATCCCTCTTCCTCTTCCTAACGCACCGCTTCATCTTCAGCGCTCGCTACTACACCTACCCGCTCTGGCGGAACCAGTACGTCGTGCTGATCTACAACCTCCTGCTCGTCGACATGCAGCAGGCAACCGCGTTCCTCCTCTGTCTGCACTGGGTCGTGAAAGGCGAGATCCGGTACCCGAGCGCCGCGTGCGTGCTGCAGGGGTGGTGGATCCAGACGGCGGATCCGGGGAGCGGGCTGTTCGTTATCGCGATCGCGCTGCACACGGGCGCGGTTGTGCTGCGCGGGCGGCAGATCCCGTATCCGGTTTTCGTGGCCTGTATTGTTGGCCTGTGGACGTTTATTCTGGTTCTCGGCTTTATCCCTGTTGGGCTTTATGGACGGGAGACGTTTGTTATTAGCGAGGCTGGATGGGTATGCTTTCCCCCTTTCCTCCTATACCCTACATTGGGTATGGTATCCAGACACATTGGAAGCTAACGTATCCGCAGTGCTGGCTCAGCCCAACGCGCGAAAAAGAGCGTCTATGGGGCCACTACATCTGGATCTTCTTGTCTGAATTCGGCACCATCGCGCTCTACAGCAGCATAACAATCTACCTCCGCCGCCGCATGGCCGCCGCAACGCTGAAGGCCCAAACACACGCGTACAACCGGTCCCCACGTGAAGCGCACGCATTAAAGCGCCTCAATCGCGTCGTCCTCTACATGCTCGTCTACCCGGCGTCATATGTAATCTTATCTCTCCCCCTAGCGGCGGGGCGGATGTCCAGCGCGCGGCATGTCATTCCGAGCCGGGCGTATTTCGCGGTTGCGGGGTGTCTGATGGCGCTTTCGGGGGCTGTTGATACGGCGGTTTATGCGCTGACGCGGAGGCAGTTGCTGGTTCATACGGAGGGGGGAAGCAGTGGGGGGCTTTTGGCGGGGACGGGGCCCGTGGGCAGGATCTATGCGCATGGGGAGGGGCATTTGTTTCAGACGCATATTAGTGCGGGGGGGAGTGGGAATTGGGATCGGGATGACAAGACGCTGGAGAAGGAGGAGGGGTGGATGGGGTGGGCTGGGAGGAGGTTGCGGAGGGGGACGCAGAGTCTTGGTGGGTTGGCTGGGGTGAGGACGGGGGATCGGGGGGGTGGTTCGATGGAGGAGATTGTGAAGGAGAGGAGTCTGAATCGGGATAAGGATGGGGATTTGGAGATGAGGGATATGGATAGTGAGGTTGGCGGGAGTGTTGCTGGGGTGTATCAGGAGACGACGTTTGAGATCCGGCATGAGCATGTTGATGATAGGTTTGACGGATCGTATCAGAAACAGAAGCAATCGGACTAAACAGTTGAATTGTAGATACATCCTCTGACCCGCAATATAAATACATAGACAGGGCACGGGATGTCCATACGAGCCCTAATCCAACCTCGGGACCATTATCCCCGGCATTCAACCTCCGAACTCGATTTCATTCAGAATAGACCGCTCTTCCGGTTAGAGCAAACCAAGGCTGGGCTCTCTGGGATACACAGTTTCGAAAATGCTTTCACAGTAAGCTAGAGGGCATATTATATCGGAAAGTCCACCAACCGATCAAACCACAGCGCGCGCCGGCCCCAGTTGTCCGCCCAACGGACCACTCCGTCCGCCCTCACGGACAGAGTCGGATATACTCCGGGGAGAAAGCCGAGCAGTGACAGTCTTGCTTTCCCCATGGGGGAGAAGGCACTAGCCGATCTGCTACTCCATACGACGTCACGCATGGCTCCACCTAAGTCAAGCCGAGTCAGGCCAGGCCTTGTCCCCGGCTTGTTTGCCAGGTTCCTGATTCTTGCCGGTCGTATGAGTGACAGGTGGCTATGCTGTCATGGCACGAGGAGGACAATGAGGGGTTTCGGCTTTGAGTATAGCAGGTATCGATCTAGTTTTATGAGTGGCTGTCATTCGTTCTGGTCTTGTTTTGACTTTCCATGATTTGGATCCTTTCCTTTCTTTGGCCGGCCGCGCACCAAAAATCTCCTCTTACTCCAATCCATGTATATAGAGCCAGGCCTCTACGTGTGCCGTTGACATCCGAGACCGGCCCTTCTTCACATCCAGCCCCATATAAAACGGTAGAAGCTGGTTGCCGATATGAAGGATCAAGATATCGTCGGCGAGGCTCTAGCCTCAGTACTTCCCCAGAATGATAAAGCCTGGCTGCGGATTCCTCATCTTCTGCAACTAAATCTCATTCTCCTCATCCCACTTCTTTCGTCCGCTGTAGCCGGCTACGATGGTACGCAAACACCAACCCACCGCTAAGGTAAAGACGTGCTAATAGAACTTCGAAGGCTCCCTAATGAACGGCCTGCAATCCATCACCCAATGGAAAACCTACTTCGACAACCCCACCGGCTCGATCCTCGGCGTCGTGAACGCAGCCCAAAGCATCGGCAGCGTGATCTCCCTCCCCGTCGTCGGAATCCTGTCTGACAAGATCGGCCGACGCTGGACACTCCTTTCCGGCGCGATCGTGATCATCATCGCATCCGCGATCCAGGCCGCAAGCGTGCAGTACGGTATGTTCGTCTTCTCGCGCGTCCTTGTGGGTATAGGGAGTATGCTTGTCGTGCAGCCATCCCCCATGCTAATCGCTGAATTGGCGTATCCGACGCATCGGGGGAAGTATACGTGTGCGTTTTGGACCATGTACTATCTCGGTGCTATTCTGGCGAGCTGGACGTGCTACGGGACGCAGAAGCATCTGTCGAATGACTGGACCTGGCGCGTTCCCAGTATTATCCAGGCTGGGTTCCCGATCGTGCAGGTGCTGCTTTGGTGGGCTGTGCCTGAGTCGCCGAGGTGAGTCTTCTATTTCTTTCTCTCTGTCCGTTCTTGTTTGAGCCTTAGTGCTGATGGGTGCTATGTAGATGGCTCGTTGCGAAGGGCCGAACCGAAGAAGCGCGGGAGCTGCTCGCAAGATTCCACACAGCCGGGGAAAAGAATCATCCCCTGGTCAACTTCGAAATGGCCGAGATCGTGCGCACAATTGAGCTGGAGAACCGAGCTGCGGAGACGGGTTGGACTGCGCTTGTTCAGACACCGGGAAACCGGAAAAGGACTTTTATTGCGGTCTGCGTTGGTGCCTTTGCGCAGTGGAACGTGCGTCCTTGCCCATCACATCTTCTCCATAAAGCTCCAAGCTGATATATAAACGTAGGGTGTGGCCGTGGTCTCTTACTACCTAACGCTGGTCCTCGACACCGTCGGCATAAAAGATACAGACACCCAAACCTTGATCAACGGACTTCTCCAGATCTTCAACTTCATCGCCGCTCTCTCCGCAGCACTCTTCGTCGACCGACTGGGCCGTCGAACCCTCTTCCTCTGGTCCGCAGTCGGCATGCTGATCTCCTTTGTCATCTGGACAGCGTGCTCGGCCGTCTTCGACAGCACGCAAGCCTCGGCACTGGGTAGGACAGTGATTGCCTTTGTGTTCATCTTCTACTTCCACTACGACATCGCGTACACGCCATTGCTTATGGGGTATCCGACCGAGATCTTCCCGTACTCAACGCGGTCGAAGGGGTTAACCGTGGAATTGCTGAGTGTGTACGGGAGTCTGATTATACTGGCATTTGTCAACCCGATTGCGCTGGGGAATATTGGGTGGCGGTATTATATCTTCTTCTGCGCGTTTGATGTGCTGGTGCTGGTGGTTACGTATTTTGTTTTCCCGGAGACGAAGGGGTACTCGCTTGAGGAGATCGCGGGGGTGTTTGATGGGCCGAGTGTGGTTAGGGCTCAATCTTTAGAGGGGAAGGATGCGATTGAGAAGGGGAGTGTGGAGCATAGTGAGACGGTATAAATTAGAAAGGAAGGCGCATGTCCATTGCTTATATAGCTACATAATATCTCTTCCTTTCAGATCTCAGCCGGAGTTGTAGCTTATTCAGAGAAATATATATTTTTCGTCTCGATGTAAAGGGCGATTACCCCGTAAGGATGGAAAGCGAACATGGACAGCCCCCTAATTATGAGCCACACAGTACAGGCTTGATAGAGGAGTTTTCAAGCAAAAAAAGGCACATTCATGTAAAACCCCTGCTTTCCTGCTGTTCCTGCTCTTTCCCCTGTAGAGTGCACGTGACATGGAGGATGCCTGAGGAAGCAGCGATGGGCACGGACCACCGGAATTGTTTTGGCCCTTCACGTCTTTTCCTCTTCAACCATCTATTCTCCTCTCATGCATCAAGAAATCCCATCACTTCATCCAAGTTTCTCACTCACATCTCAAGAAATCGACCATTCAACTGTATCAATGCGTCATAATGCATCGGAACGTGTCCGAGACCCACCATGGCCTCACGCGCGGGGAGTTGGAGACGCCTGCTGATCCCTCGCGACCCCGGACATCCTGGCCACCTCGATTCCTGGCAGACTCAGGGATATTCACTTTTGCTAAGCCGAGGCTGCATCATCGTCATCATCATCGTCGTCCGATCCGGAATGAGCACGAATCCGCAGCCCGCTGTCCGGTTTTCCACCCCCGACGTGGACTCCCTTGGCCACCGCACAGCAACGGCAACCGCAGAGCAGGCGTGCAGGGAATGCCGACGACGGAAGTCCAAGTGCGACCGGTCCATCCCGGCCTGCCGCCTATGCAGTAAATTCAGCCGGGGGTGTACGTACGAGAAGTCGATCCGCACTCCCTTGACGCGCACCCATTTGTCTCAGGTCGAGAACGAGCTTGCTCGGACGAAAGCGTTGCTGAGGAGGTTTATGCCCGATGTCGACCGACTGAACGGTGATGTGGGGGATTCAAACCTGGGCAATGAGGCACCCAGCTATGAAGCAGTCCCGGCTCAGTCCGAGCCTACGCTGCACAATGGTACCGCCGCTGCCATTCTCCCCGAATCAGGCCACATGGGCCGTCACCTACAGAACACTATTCCTCTTCCCACGCCGCTAGACACCCAGTACACTAGAATGAGTATTGCCACTAACCCTGGCACGGACTCAACTGGGCCCGGGCCGAACATGCGGCCTGCGTCTGAGTCTCGCTCTATTGGAACAACAGCGCTCCCACTCGAAACGCCGCCGTCAAGCACTAACTTTGAGTGGGATGAGAGGGCGGGTAGAGACAAGTTTGTTGATGGCATGGCTAGCCTTACGAGTCGGTCGAGTGAGGGGGGGTATCTCGGTAAGCCTCTAGCCTTTATCTGATACTGTAGGCCGCAGCTGACAGTCCTAGGCTCTGCATCCGGAGCAGCCTTACTCCGTTTAGCTGATGCTGGAAGTGGCGAGGGAGCAGACGAAAGCAATAGCAGCGGCAACGAGCCCGTCGACATGCCCAGCATCCCTTTCGTGCTCAACAGTATGTCCCAGCTTGAGCCCTTCGTAGAGGCTTACTTCCGGCTCTACCATTGCTCCTACCCCATTGTACACGAAGCCACGTTCCGCGCCCAGTTCATGGAGATAATACCTCGTCCGTCGGGAAATTCCTGGCAGGTCTTGCTCTTCGTCATATCGGCATTGGGCGTCTTCACCTCGTCGACCGCGACTACGCAGACAAATATCGACCTTGCTCTTTTCGACGCAGCAAAGGAGCGCCTCTCAATTGACGTCTTGGAAACCGGAAACCTCGTCCTCGTGCAGGCATTAACCCTGATCTCCAACTATCTTCAGAAGCGCAACAAGCCGAATTCTGGGTATAACTACATGGGACTCGCCAGACGCGTGGCAATGGGTATCGGATTGCATAAAGAGTTTCCTACGTGGGATGCCAGCCTGCTGACCCTAGAGATGAGACGGAGGGTCTGGTATTGTCTCTACATCTTCGACATCGGGGCCATGATAACCTTCTCGAGGCCGTTGGATTTCCCAGTGGAGGGGGTTGATGTTCGATTGCCGACCAACGCGCATGATAGTGTACGTCTCTCCACGTCTATCGATTCTCAACTCAATACTAATGTGATGCGACCAGGATATTACAGTAGCAACCCGACAACCCCCACAGCCATCCTCCGAGACCACAATTTACAGTCATCTCCGCGCCCAGGCCCAATTCCATCTCGCCACAAGCACCATCTACAGCAAAATCATCTCACACCCCCTTCCCTCGGCAGCGGAACTACTGCAACTGGACGACACACTCATCGGCGGCTGGTTAGCGGACCTCCCGCCATACTTCGCCGAGTCCGCCATCCAGCCTCCAAAATTCGCTCTCGCCCATGCCATTCTTCGCTGGCGGTACCGGAACTTTCGAATACTCATGTATCGACCGTTCCTAGTAGGCCAAATCATGGCTCGGCCGAGGGCACAATCTGTGCGCGGCCATGGCCAGGTCCAACCGGATATTGGCCTCGCCATTGACCGCTGCCTGGCGACTGCCGCTGAGGTTGTCGATTTGATCTGCACATTCTGGCTGACGGAGATCAACCAACAACACATGATGGCTTGTTGGTACGGGCTCTACTTCTTATTTCAGGCAATCTTGATCCCGGTGATCTGCTTGCGAAACGATCCCCAGTCGCCGCTTGCCCAGAGTTGGCGGACTCAAATCATCCAAGCGGTTGAGGTGCTCGAGTCCATGGCCCTGATGAACCCAAGTGCGCGACGATGCTTGGGCGTAATTAGAGAACTTTGCGGCGCGTATCTCCAAACTGGGCCTGCGCCTGAACTAGGGGAGGTGAATCTGGATGGCGCCTGGAGGCCAACGGAAGAGTCACCGCAGACGCAGCTGACAAACCTATATCCACTAATGTGGCCAACACTGGAGATGGGAATGGGAATTGGTATTGGAGGTGATTCAATCATGTATGCTTTTCTCCTGCCATGGTATGGTATTTGGCGTGGACGGCCTGCTAATTACCTGCAGCCAAGAGAACACGATAATGGACTTTATGAACCGGTTGCCAGCGCTGGATTGACAGACAACCTCATATTTTCCAACTCTACCAGTTACGCTGGTCTAGGGTAAGACGTATCCGCCATCTATGATTATGTCCGCCCCGGTCATATAACTCGACGCATCCGACGCCGCAAATACATACGCCTGTTCGTGGAGTTAGCAAGTGACGCACTTGACGGCCGAGAATGGCCTTATACTGGGTGAAATACCCCCTTCAGCTCATACGCCTGCGCCATTCTCTTCGCCGGAATCATGTCGTACCACTTCTCCCTCCATTCCTTGGGATGATGGTCCAGGATCTCGGTCGCGATGAAACCGGGCGAGATGCAGTTGACGCGGCAAATGTCGACCCACTCGACAGAGAGACATTTCGCTAGTTGGACCACGGCCGCTTTGGAGGCGTTGTACTGCACGCATTGTCAGCGATCGCCCAGCTCAATTCTGAAGCAGGTTAGACAGAGACTTACAGCAGCCTGCTTCTGCGGCACATTTACGAGGCTCGCACTAACGCTCGCCGTGAACACAATGCTCCCTTTCCCGGTGCCTTGCTCCTTGAACACATTCGCTGCCGCTTGAGCTGTCCAAAACGCACCGTCGAGGTTAACATCCATAATCTTGCGCCATTCTTCTATAGTATATTCCTCGGCTGGCACGGACGAAGCAATTCCCGAGTTCGCGATGACGATGTCGAGTCGCCCAAAGTCTGATTTGATCTTGTTTATCGTACTCGTGACCTCGTCCTTGGAAGTCACGTTTGCCTGATATGCGCGGCAGGTTATCTTGTTCTCCGAGGCAATCTGAGAAGCCGTTTCGGCGGCTGTTGAGGAGGTATTGTAAATTATTGCGACCTATACGCCCGAAGCGATCAGTATACACGACATAAAGGGGACGAGGGGATGCACACATTTGCCCCAGCTTCGGCCAGACCCCTCGAGACTTCGAGGCCGATGCCGCGGGATCCTCCTGCACTCTGTTAGCACACGCTTTATCTCGCTTGTTCTCATGGCGAAGTGCTTGCCAGTAACAATCGCGACCTTGCCAGTCAGGTCAAAGGCCTTGGTGACGTGCTGGTTTTCTGGTTGGACGAGGACCATCTTGGGTACGTTGATGGAAATGTGTTCTTGACAACTTCGGTGTCAACAATGGGAAAGTTATCAAAGGAATCTTTCCCTTGAACAAACAGCGAGCTCCCTGGAGCTGCCTTACCTGTAGGACAGCTACCCCGCGGTGACGAACAGCCTCGGAGTGGCGAGCGAGAGTCTAGGCCCCACGGCCCGCTGCGGACACGGTCGTCCGTCACCATTCGGATATGGAGTCCGCTGCATCTTGCCTTTGATGCGACGTGGCAGATGCTTTCGGGCAGGAATGCATGTTTGCCTTGTTGGAATTGGGACGAGCCAGATGGTCTTGGATTCATGGCTGAGACCACCCGCAGCTACCTAAGAGGTGGTGGACGTCTTAGTACCAAGGAATCCCCATTCATCAAGACAGTCGACTCCCTCAAGCCCTCGAAAGATCACCATGGAAGACACATACACCTCACTCGCATCCACAATAATGGGCCTCACATCATCGCACCCGAAATCCAGGGATCTCGTCGCAGTCACTCGCAACCGCGGTAGCAGCACAAACCAACCGAGCACGACAAATATGTCAAGAACACACTCAGCTCACAATGAACAGTGCCATGCAAACCAGCATAAGGCCCTCGTCCTCTCGATGGACGGCTTCCACCCCCCGCGCTCAACGCTCGACGTACGACTACCATATCCGTGGTAGTTAGGGTTACAGTGCCGGGCGCCCGGGCGACTCCACTGTTATAGGTGACCTCGAGACATAGCGTTACCTGTTCCTTTTTATTTCTTGCGAATTGACCGAGATGCTCAGAGTCCATTCTTACACAGGGTAAGGACAGCGCATGTCTCTACCATGGACGGTCCTCAGACCACCAACCCAGGACCCAGGCACCCACGCACCGGGGTGGGGCGTCCGTCTGCACATTAGACTAGCTGCAGCACACGTCCTCTACCCATTGATGCTCTGACGTTGTACGTGGAGGGGCAGAGCTGAGCTGGTGCGGGGCTGCTGCGACTCTTTGTGGTAGCTAGATATGTGTTATTTTTTGTTGCCAGGAGTCGCACGGTACGGGATCCGAGGTGCGAAGCGAATTGCTGTCTGGTTTCTATCTCTTATACCCAGATCAACCCTTTCGCTTCCTTGTCTTAACCTCTCTAATTTCTTTTATCGATACCCGGATATACCCCAACTCCACATCACGATGCCTGTAAGGCCCCTACTCTTAATGTCGAACACCCAAAAAGCCAATATACTAATAGAAATCAAGGAAACAAACCCCTCATTCGTCCTCCGCGCCGTCAAAGAGGTCACGTTCGAAGACCGAGAAATCCCACCCCTAAAAGACCCATGGGATGTCCGCGTGCAAATCGCCCAGACTGGGATTTGCGGAAGCGATGTGCATTATTGGCAGAGGGGACGGATCGGAGGTATGTCCGCCACTACTTGAAAGCGAACTAGGCGCGTGAAGAAGTTATGGCTAACAAGACTTGCGAACGCAGACTTCATCCTCGAGTCCCCAATTGTCCTTGGCCACGAGAGCTCCGGTATAGTGACGGAAGTCGGACCCGCGGTTAAGAATTTGAAGGTTGGGCAGAAGGTTGCAGTTGAACCCGGGGTTCCTTGCAGACAGTACGTCTTTACCTCGCTATTATCCTAAGCATCTAAGATTATATATAACTAATTAGCCCGTAAAGCTGCGACTACTGCCGCTCGGGCTCGTACAACCTCTGCCCGGACACCGTCTTCGCCGCGACACCGCCGCACGACGGGACGTTATCAAAGTACTACACCACACAGGCGGACTACTGCTACCCATTGCCATACCACATGGACCTAGAAGAGGGGGCCATGGTCGAACCAGTCGCAGTGGCTGTGCAAATCACAAAAGTCGGCAATGTCCGGCCTAATCAAACAGTCGTTGTCTTTGGCTGCGGACCCATCGGGCTGCTTTGCCAGGCCGTGAGCAAAGCATACGCGTGCAAGAAGGTAATCGGCGTGGACATTAGCCAGTCCCGGCTGGACTTCGCGCAGTCTTTCGGGGCTGACGGGGTGTTCCTCCCTCCACCTAAGCCAGAGGGCGTCGAAGAGACAGAGTGGAGCGAGAAGGTTGCTAGCATGATTAAAGAGAAATTCGGGCTCGGCGAGGGGCCCGACGTTGTCCTTGAAGCGACGGGTGCACAGGCCTGTATCCAGACCGGTATTCACCTTGTGAAAAAGGGTGGGATGTATGTTCAAGCCGGGATGGGGAAGGAGAATGTTGTCTTCCCGATTACGACGGCCTGTATTCGGGATTTGACGATTCGGGGCAGTATACGGTATAGCACGGGGTGTTATCCTGTTGCAGTGGATTTGATTTCGAGCGGGAAGATCGATGTGAAGAAGCTGATCACGAATCGGTTTGCCTTTGAGCAGGCGGAGGAGGCGTTTGAGCTTGTACGGCAGGGGAGGGAGAGTGTGATTAAGGTTGTTATTGCCGGGTATCAGCATAAGCAGTAGGTCCTTCAAAGAATACGATTTATATTTCCAGTTGGCTATTGTTTCGCGGGGCATATCTCCCCAATGCACTCCCCAAATCCCACACCAGACCCCTCGCTCCCCAGAACAGCGCTCATCCGGACGATATCCCCATCAAGGAGATACACCCTCTCGGTCCCGTCCGCAAGCTTCACAGCCTGCTTCCCACCCTTCGTACTCTCAAGCAGACACCCGTACGAACCCTCCTCCGCCCCGCTGACTGTCCCCGTCCCCAGCAGATCCCCAGTGCGCAGGTCTGACCCGCAGCTCGTAAGATGCGCGACCATCTGCCGATGACTCCAGAAAAGGTCTTTTGCGGAGCTGATGGCCACCGGCGAGATAGTCTTGCCTTCATACTCACCACTTCCAGCATGTCCGTTCGTGGACGTACTTGCAGGTGGGTGGATGATCTCCACGCTCATCACGATATCAAAGTTCCCTTCTTTCTCCTCCTTCAGATGCTCTGTGAGCTCAACCCGTGGCTCGGAACCTGGCCCCGCGACTCGGAACGGTGCCAGTGCGTCTGTGGTGATTATCCACGGCGATATCGTCGTCCCGAAGGCTTTGCCGTTTAGAGGGCCGAGAGGGACCATTTCGAGGCCTTGGATGTCGCGGGCTATATGACCTGATTAGCCATATCTTCTTCAAGGCATCTATGGGAAGGGGCAGAGGAGGAAAATAAGGGAGAGACGCACCACTCCAGTCATTAAGCAGCACAAACCCAAAGACATACTCCTCGGCATCGTTCGCACTGATCCCCTTCCCACTCCCCCACTGAAACGGCTTGCCCACAACAACGCCCAGCTCCATCTCATAATCGAGCGCACGACATGGTCCATAGACCACCGTCTTCGGAGTCGGGTTCGCACGGTCATAGAAGTGCCCAGAGGGTCTGGTAATCGGCGTGCCCGAAACAACGACCGTCGACGCGCGTCCCGTGTACCCGATAGGGAAGTAAAAGAAGCCAGGAGGAGGCGCGGGGTCGTTGAGAATCGCGCGGCCGGCGTTTTGGACGTGGTTGAGGGAGTTGGAGAAGTCTGTCCAAAGTGTTATTATGGTTGTTTACCATGGTATAGGTAATGTATACGCACCTGTAAACCCCGAGATCGAAACGGGCAGATGCATCTTCGCGCTCGAGATATCCGCCTTGGAGTTCTCGGGTAGGGCGTCCAAGTCGACGAGGACAGATTGGAGTTTCGCGCGGACGGCCGCGTGGAGTGGTTTCGGGAGCGCGGCATATTCGTTCAACGTCGCATTTGACAATATCCCCTTCGGGAGGTCGGGAATATCGTTGAAGACGCCGGAGTCTTGCAGCACCCCTAGGAAAATCACGGTGTTGTGGAGGCGCGTTGCGCATTGGGGGTCGTGGGATCGCGATGCGACGCCGAAGGGCAGGTTGTTGATGGAGAAGTGGTGGGCGTAGGATGGGGAGGTCATTTTGAATTTCACCACGTTGCAGTGAGCTTTCTATGTAGGTAGAAATCTATTTTGAGGGTAGGCGCTCTATATATGTACCCAACCTCGTCGGCTCCGCTGTCCACATCCCGACGCTCTCAGCCAACGACCCTCATAGCGATCATGGTCCATGCACACGCTCGATCTCCGCCCAGCACATATCGACATAAGCGTCAAAGTCGTAGTTGACAGAGTCGAGGAACTCCTCGGTCATAACATCATTGATGTCGGGTTCCCAATCGGAGTCCCACATTTCCGGGGACCGTTCATCTTCCTCCTCGGGAACATCATAAATGGATCCCATCTTATGATACGAGAGGTACCGCCCAGGGATCTTCAACGCGATAATCTCGAACTCGAGGTCAACGGAGCGGAAGTGGGATTTCAAGCCCTCCATCACCCTAGCATGCCTCGGGTCGCATTTCACCCTCCCGTCGTCGGTTTGGAACGCCACGGTCACCTTCCTCAGATTCGGGAACTGGCTCACGTTCTCATATCGCGCATCTGAGACACCGATAAGTCCCTGCGAGACAGCGCGGAGCTGCGCGGACGCGGTGATGGATATGGAAAGACACTCAAGGCTCCGTGGGAGGCACTCGCTAAGGGCCGTGCGAAGAGCGCTATCGGTGGCTGCCGTACGGTCAACCCTGATGTCCAGGAGATTGGGAGCCCGGATGGAAAGTTCTTTAAGGCATTCAAAGCCCGCGAATGAGCCCATCCAGCGGTCGTAATCTGGATCGACGTGATGAGCCAGAAAGCGCTCCTCTTGGCCATCCTGCAGGTCGTAGAGATCATCGTAGGCGGTCCCACGGTAATTGAGGTCCAGGACCTCAAGGTTATGCTTCTGGCTCAGTAGGGGCTCGTAGAATTCCGTTCGAAAGTCACAGTCGTCAGGCGCGCGTTCTTCTTGGTTGTACTGGTTGGTGAACGAAAAGCGTTTCAGGTTTTCGCATGAGCGAATGTATGCAGGGAGGCCAAACGGCTCGCTCCATTGCAAATCGAGCCTAATCTCCTCGATCTTCGTTCGAGGCGGTGGTTTGGCTTCGATTTCGAGCGCGGGGTCTATGCGTCCGCGTACGTGGATGCTGCGTATCGACGGGAGAGAAAAAAACATGAAAAGATCCTGGTCCGGGCACAGATCCACATGCTCCAGCAGCAGGAAAGCGATCTTCTCAAGCTTATGTAGCGCTTTCTTCTTGTCAAACGGAGGTTGGCGCGTGCCCGCAAGGTAGAGGACACGGCGAACGATTTCTGGACGTAACGGTTCAATGTGTAGCACGACGAGCTTCCGCAGCAAGGATATCAGCAATGCAGCCCACTCGTTGTTCCCTTTTCTGAGGAGATCCTCGCGCCATTCTTCGATGGTGCTTTGATCCATCGAGTCTGCGAAGCGCGCCATCTGCCGGTCAATCCAAGTAGGGTCTTCTGGCGTCCTCCATTTCATTGCTGTTGGCACCGATGCCCGATTGGGCAGTGTCAATTCTTTGACGCGCGAGAAAGCTTTTGGTCTGTCCTCAATGCTGTGCACGAAAAACGGGATCTGGCACCCTTGCAGTTCAACCGCGGAGTACACCAATTTCGACAGTGTCGATCGCCAGCGGCGACAGACAAGGAGAAGTTTCGGTCGCTCATTGGGTTCGAGTGCTTCGCCGATTAGGCGGATGATTTCTCTGGGGAGATGCATTACGATTTGAGATGAAGGACGCGGATAGGCAGATGTGAAGGTCGCGTGGTGTTGTGAAAATTGATTCGTGGCCTTGAGCACAATTTATGCGGATGAGTCATGGAAGCTATACAGGTTATGCTAGACTTATGCGCACAAACAAGAAGACCACCGTTGGATTAGTCCACAGCCCAGTACACTCGTCATGATCATCCCAATCACCAGGGTCATCGGCGCTTGCAAAAGAAGCAGGCGATACCCCAGCGCCCGGTGCATTCGCCCTTGAACCACCCCCAGCCCGTCTCCGTGCCTCAGCCTCAGCCGCAGCCATCTCGGCAGCCCACTCCTGTCCGGCAAGCGTATACAAGAAATGCGGGTTGTTGAAGTGGTCGTCGGGGTCATCGCCATCGTGATCAGCATAGCCAAAGCCATAAACCTCACCTTAGCTCGAATGAGGGCCCCAATCGTCGAAATCCATCCCGCCGAAAACGCGGTGGCGCCTGCGGTTATGGAAGGAGAGGCTGCGGCTGGGAATCTCGAGCGCTGTCATGGTGAATGTTAACCCTGCATCCTCGTATTCACTTTCCAGCTGTATCGTCCGTTCGGAATGCCGGGCGTACATCATGATCCTGCCATCGACGGACTGGTACGCTACCGTCACGCTTTTCAGGGATGGGAACTGATCCCGTGCTGCGAGGAGCTGGCTCAGACCCGTGAAGACGGGATCAAGCTGAATTGAGACCGTAAACGAAATGGACAGATTCTCAATGCTCCTAGGAAGAACATCAACAAGCGGCGTGAGCAGCTTGGCGTCATCCATTGTCGTAAATCGGATATCGCACAGGTTGGGCGCGCGAACAGCCAGGTCTTTCAGGTTCTTGAAATCCCTAAACGAGCCCATGAACCGATCATACGGCTCCGAATCGTGCATCTCGCCGCGGTCCTCCGCCGGATCGAAGATATCGTCGTACGCTATGCCGCGGTAATTCAGATCAAGAAGCTCGAGGTTCTCCTTTTGGCTCTCGGCCAGCGGCTTGAAGAAATGCTCGCGCAGCATGCAATCACGCGGCCCATCCTCCTCGTTCGCGAGCGTATTCGTGAACGAGAAGCTCTTCAGTTTCGTGCAGACCTTGATATGGTGCGGCATTGCGAAGGGCGCTCCCGTCCATTTCGCTTCCAGCGTGATGCTCTCGACGCCGTTCGGTTTGGGCGGGGTGATGGGCTCAACGGACCGGGGCGTAATGGCGCCGCGAACATGCACGCTCTTTAGATTCGGCAATCTCAAGAACCCGAAGAGGTCCTGTTCCAAGACGAGCAGCTCGTTCGTGGGACCCTGCAGAAACTCCAACTTCTTCAGGTTCCTCGGACCAGGACGATCAGCCGAAGCGAATGGCGGACGATGCATAAACGCAAGCATGATAACGTTCCGCGTCCACGAGCCCCGAACAGGCTCGATGCGCAGGGTCTCCAAACCGTGCAGGAAGAAGAGCAAAACAGCGGCCCAGAAGTCGCCGTTTAGTTCGGCCAGCCCGTTGCGCCACATCCGGGCGAGCTCGGGCTCCCGCCGGTCAGCCATGAGAGTTTTGATGAAGGGCACTTGCCAGGTGGATTTCTCGATGGCGCGGCCTTTGAGCTCTGCGCTCGAGCCTAGGGCGCTCATGGTGAGATGTTTGATGCGCGGCGCTAGACTGGGCTTGTCTTTGATGGACTGGACCAGCGGCGCGATTTGCGAGCCTGTCAGGTCCAGCGATGAGTAGACTAGGGGGGTGAAGAGGGTGGTCCAGGCGCGGCAGACGCGGAGAAGACGCGGGCGCTGGCGGGGCGGGACCGATTTCCCGACTTCGAGGAGGATTTCAAGTGGGAGGGAGTCCATTGGAATTTGTGCTTTTAGTGGGTTGGTGGTTGTGGAAGTGAGTGAAAATTGGATGTGACATTGCACTTGTGCGCATTACTCAGCAGAGCGGTTATGAATGTTATGCATTGATGGACCATGGTCCCGAAGCCCTAACTCAACACGCCTAAACACGCCCTTCCCTCTCAGCGACCGTCAACATCTCCTCCACCGACATGAACTTGACGTTGGAAAAGTACTTCTCCCGCTGTCGCAGTGTCTTCTCCTTCGGACAGGCCGTCGCCCCAGCAACCTGGTGCTGCTCGACCTCGACCACCCCGACATCCTCGATCTCAGGCTGCGACTCGTACTTGCGGAGATCCGAGTTGATCTCTTCAAGGGAGCGGGTTTTCCGGGTGAATGGACGGCCTGTACTTGCTTAGCTTAGTAGTCATATATAATCAGGAACCCACGCACCGTAGAACCTCTCCAGCACCTCAGCAGTGTGGTTGAACGTGCCCCATTCGCCACAGACGTACGTCACCTCTTCCTATACGCTGTTAAAACCCATCAAAGATATGCTGGAGGTTAGGTAGGTTACTCACCCACTCCTGCTCACTCCCCAAAAGCTCACACACAGCCCTCGCAACATCCCTCCCGGCCGTCCAACTCTGCGGCTCCTCGCCCGTCCCCCGAACAGTATACGTCCAGCTGCCAACATCAATCGGGAACTCACCCTGAATGTACTTCATATACGACTGGCTCGGGGGCAGAAAGTAATCCATGAACCAGCCGTGGTTGAACAGCGTCCACTGCAGCCTCGGCCGACCGGGTTTCTGCTCCAGCTCGCGCAGGTACTTCCGTATCGGTGCGCGGGTGCTCCCGTAGGATATCGGGATGTCAGGGAACTTCTCGATATCGCCCGCCCATTCGGAGGGGATGAAGCGCTTGCAGGTGTCTGAGCTTAGACACGCGGTGATGAAGGTTTTGTGCAGCGGGATGTAGTCGCTGTTTGGACAGCGGATGAGCGAGATTAGGGCGGTTGCGCCGGTCGTGTTTAGGATGGAGACTAGCGAGGTCTCGGTGTAGTCGGTTGGGTGGATCGTTGTGTGGGGGAGGCAGGTTGGGTTGGCGGCCGAGGCCTGGATGTAGAAGTTTAGTTGGCGTCAGCCATGTTTGACTATATTAGGAGGGTATGAGACAAGAGGGCTAGGGGTACCTTGCGCGTCAAGAGAGCCACAGCAAACCGGCCGTCTTTGACAAGTTCCTCGTGGATGTAGCGGCCCAGGTCGCCTGTTCCACCGGCGAGGGCGATGACCTGGCGTTCGATCTGGGGGTATTGCATGGTTGATGTTGGATCGGAAGGCGATGTCAAGAATAGGTGTATGCCAATCAAGTATTCGGTGCGGAAAGCGTTGGATATCGATCTGAGGATGAGTAGTTCGCTGAACAGCCAGGAGTACAGGAATAGAGAGAACCTAGGCAGCCCACTCGATTCCACTCAACTTAAAGGCAATATACAAGACTAACAGTCCTTAATGTAATGGAACTACGAAGACGGCACCACCTAAGCTGAAGACGTGATGCGCAGAGAACAACCGAGGTTCAGGCCCGAGCGTCAGGTAAACAAAATAGCAATCAATGGCATGCATTTCAGCTCGCTGGTCTACCCATTGGCTAACAATTTCCTGTACAACTTTGCCTTTTCCTCTGACGCTAATGCTATACGGAGTCCGGAGTATACAAACAACCGGCAATCACACGCGTCAGCAAGCCAACATGCAGCCCCAATCACAGGAGATCTCCGTGTCCGACAAACTGGACAGCCCGGAACACAGCTGATTCGCTAATTTATGCAGCAATTACAAATAAACGCCACGGTAACATCTCTCCCATCACGTAAACCAACCACTGCCATCTCGGCCGGCGTTCTACGGAGTACGGTACAATCTACCCACTCCCCAGGATAACCCCCGTCATAACCCCTGTGACCAGACACATCACAGCTGAAGGCGCGAGGATCCACGATCAGCCACTATTTTTTTCCAAAATATCGCTTGTGGGATAAGGGGGAGACTCACCAAAAACAAAATTCATCACATAGTACCCCAAGCTCTTCGTCAACGCCCCAGAGACAAGCGGGCCCAGGAACATGCCCAGCTTCCAGGTGATGTTTGATAGCACAAAGGCCCGCGAGTACAGCGAGATGCCCCCGCCCTGCACGAGCCCCGGCATTTCGGCCGCGACTTCGTTGGCGCCTCCTGCAGGTCGAGTCAAGGGTTAGCCAGGTGGACCGGAGTTTGCGCCATGACATCCGGCTCCAATTTCCTCCTCAGAGACCAACCCCTCGGAAACCCCAGTGGAAGCAGAAAAGCAGAGTATACTCACGCAGAACCTCCACGCCCCCAAACCCGAGCACCAGCGTCCTCGCAGCCCCAATAGCAACCAACATCGCAACATAAAGCACCTCGCCATTCTTCCCATCCGCCCACCCGAACCCCGTAAGGTTCGCCCCCGGCACCCCAAGTAACCACAGCGACGGCGCCATGACCAAGAACCCCAGCGTGACCGGCCCGCGCATCCCAATCCGATCCTTCAACCAGCCGATCGGGAAGACGAGAATCGACGTCGGCGCCTGCAGGATCAGAAAGAGCATTCCGGCGCGCAGACTATCCCAGTTAAATGCGTCGCGGATGTGCAGCGGGATCGTGGCTTCGAAGCTGGCGATCAGGGCTGCGAGGAACGTTTCGGCGACGAGGGCCGTGACGACGCGCTTTTTGCAAAGCATGCGGCGGTAGATTGTGGACGAGGAGGGGGGTGGTGGGATTTCCTTCTGCGGGTTGAAGGTGTGGTACTCTGATCCCGCACTCCGGTGTCTGTTGAAGGAGGGCGGCGCTGGGAGGAGTCTGTCTGATTCTTGCCCGCCCATTTCGTCGTAGTAGCTCCGCGCGTAGGACTCGATGTCTCTGTCGCTGTCGCTCTCTTCCACGACCACCGGGCTTCCGTTTGCGCCATTTTCTCTGCCCTTGTCGCATTCCTTGGGAAGCAGGTACGGCTCGATCACGAGCGCCTGCAGCACCGAGCCCACGAGCAGCACCGCAAACGCCGACAGCCACGTCACCGCGTACGTCGAGAACTTGTAGACCGCTGCCGAGAGCGCCGGGGCGGACAGGAACCCGCCTGATATCAGGAGCACGCAGATCCCCATCGCCTTGGAGAGGTGCTCGGAGCCTACGGTGGCGCCGAGCATGGCCATGCCGGCGATGTAGAGCAGCGAGCCGCCGATTGTTTGGATGAGGCGGCCGATGATGAGCCCGGTTACTGGGTTGTATGTCGGTTAGTGTTTACGGTGTGATGTCACGGACAGAAGGAAGGAAGACGTAGGCGTACATGTGCTGGATCCAGCGATGACCACTGTCCCGACCGTGTTGACGGCGTACGACCATAGCATCAGCGTGTTCTTGCGCGACACCTTGTCCGACAGGTGTCCCGTATACGGGGCAATGATGATCGTAAGCAGCGCATTCATGGACAGGATGACTGACGTCAAGAGCTGGACTTTCGACGACGGCATATGCAGCCGGCCTTCGAGGATGTCCGGCATGATTGGGACGATGAAGCTGAACAGGAAGCTATCTACATGGGCCCGAGGTATCAGACAGATCAAACATAATGCATGAAGCGAGTCAAGCGTTTGCTGGGTGCAGCGTACCTGTAAACATGGCGATCGCTATGCTCGTCACAATGAAAGGCTTCGAGCTGCGCCAGGATAGCCCCCAGGGGCGGGGGGCTGCTGGGGACTGTGTAACGCCGGTCATCGTGGGCAGGACAAATGGAATGGATATCCCGGGGATGGACAGACCGTGAATGAGAGAAGAACCAATTCCAACAAGGTCTCTCCAGGGAACGCAATATATAGCAATGTCCGTCTACTGCTCTAGTGCTCACCATCAAAGGCAAATCCGTGCCCACCAACTCAAAAGCGATCTATCAATAGCGCCGCTCGCCTTGTGTCCCATGATACAGCGCAAGGCCATTCTAGCTGGACGACTGACCCACAGCACGGTCGTCTTGCAGTTGATCATCCTATTCCTGCGTGGTTTCAGATTATCAGATAACCGGTTTGCAAATCAATGGCGCCAGATTATTGATGACGTGCAGACTTGCAGCACAGCAGACGGCGAGAATTCCGTCGATTGGGAAATAGGCCTATCGCCTCGGTGGCTCAAAGGTATGGTAGGGTACGCTGGCGGCTATAGTACGTAAGATCAAAGCCAAAAGCAATATTCAGCTGAGATGGAGCCACCGCAGTGCCATTGTAGGACATCAGACAGCTAGGAAGGTCGTTCTTGTCACTTTCACTCCAGTGATATGCAGAGCTAGACGCGCATACTGCACCTCCGAGCCTTCGAGCACCCGCCGAGGCACAGTGGAATTTGTCAAGCCTGCAGACCAACTCAATATTTGGAACCGGGGTGATGCTGAACGAGCGGAGAAGACATCACTCACAAAAAGCAAGTAAGAGCCCGGGGCTGAGAGGTTGCACAGCATGGGATGGAGTTGGACAGGCTGGCTCGCTTCAGGGCTCTTCATTCGCCTCAACCCCGCCCATAATCAAGCTGCCATGTCGTACAGCCAAAGCCAATTGACGATCCATCACCTCGGGCTGGCCGTCGGAGTATTTCCCCTCACCGGGTGAACTTCCCCCCTGCACACAATGCCATTCGGTGCGTCTTTGGCTGGGCGCTTTCAGGGTGACCCTTGAATGTCTGTCTGGCTTTGGTCTCCGCACGACTCATATATCGCCCTTATTGACATACCAACATACACACCCAAGCTCCTTCAAGTCAAGAAATCTCCGGAGTAACCTAAGGTTCAATTTCACTGAACCATCACAATGGCCCCCTCAAAATCCTTCCCCCCAGGCCTGCAATACCTCCCCCCGACCAGCGCCCTCGAGGACATCCTAACCCTGCTCAAACGCGACGGCGCCGTCGTCGTCCGCTCCCTCGTGTCCGAATCTGATCTTGACGACGCCTACACAGAAATAAAGCCCGCCCTCGAAGCCGACGCAGAATGGGACGGCGAGTTCTTCCCGAGTACGCCCTCCCCTCCCTCTCCTCCCAACTAATCCCCCGCTAACCCCCCGTGCGCAGAGGAAACCAAACGCGCCAACGGCCTCATCGGGATCAGCCCAACCTACGTGCGCTCGCAGCTCATGCACCCGCTGTTCCAGGCCATCGCCAACCACTTCCTGACGACGCGGAGCACGTACTGGTGGGGGGATAAGAGGAAGGAGTCCGTGAGTCTGCCGTATGTGACGTCCACGGTCGCGATCCAGGTTGGGCCGGGTGCGACGGCGCAGCCGCTGCACTGCGACAGTTACATCGGGCACCGGGTTGTGGATGCGATTGATGCGTGGGATGACGAGCGGGATTTGAGGAGCCGCGAGACGAGCGTGGGGATGTTTGTTGCGGGGTGTGATGTGTGTAAGGAGAATGGGGGGACGCAGGTTATATTGGGGAGTCATCTTTGGTATGTCCATGTCCATGTCCAGCCCATCGAGACCTTCCACGGTGAGCTGGGATGCGGCTAACCAGGCTCGACAGGTCGTCCTGCCCCGACACGCCTCCCCCGCAGGAATCCATCATCGTGCCGACCCTGCGCAAGGGCGACGCGTTCTTCATGCTCACGTCGCTGATGCACGGCGGCGGGAACAATACGACCACCGACCAGCAGCGGCTTGTGTGGTGCTCGTTCGCGACGCGCGGGTTCCTGCGGCAGGAGGAGAACATGTTCCTTGCGGTGCCGCAGGAGGCCGTCAAGCAGTATGATCGCGCGGCGCAGCGGTTTACGGGGTACTATGTTAGTGAGCCGGCTTGTGGGGTTGTTGAGCAGCGGGATCCGATCTATGTGCTTTATCCGGAGGAGGTGGGGAGTCATGGGGGTTTCTAGGGGTGGTTGGAGTTGGGAGGATGCGTAGGGATAGGAGAGTGAAGTGTAGGTAGTGGAATTACAATGCTTTACGTGGTGCTTTGTGTTGTCCTGTATCCTTCATAACCTAGATGGCCAGGAGCTTGCCTACAATAGGGTACGCCGGGGACATGGCAAGCAATATCGTTAATCAACCAGGCAATGCCCGCTTTACAGGCTAAAATCCCAAGTTTCAAGCAGCGTATCCATAGCTCAAGAACGAGATCTGCAATTATTGTGCTTTTCTTGCCGCCCTCAGCTTACCCTCCACTTTGTGACAAGATGTCGCTTACATGTTGAGATTGACTGTGATATTGGGGGAGGTCTCCGCATTCTCCTCCTCAAGCCGTCTCATCATCAGCCAATGGAATGGCAACCCAGAACCAACACCATTTTCCGGCATAGAAACAACGCATCTAGGCATCAGTATATGTGCCAGCCAATCGCCAGACGACCGAGCAGGTCCCGTTCCCCGGGCTCGCTGCAATTCCGGCTCCTTGGCGTCGGTATGAAAGGTGATATGATGTGCTGCGTCGTGTCCCCGCATCATCAGAGCCATCCATGCAGTGTGACTGTGAGGGGAATCATGGCGGGCTGAACAGCCAGAATCTCTTCGGCCGGAACCTAGACTAGCACGATCTATTGATGTAGGTCAGAGTTCAGCGAGGCGTCTTGAACCAATGGGGATCTTAGGAGATCCGAGAGAGCAATGCCGCAAGGACCCGGGGTGTATGCAAGCTGTGCAACGAGGCAAGTCATCAGAACCCAATGTGAGTGGACTGTGCCGCACAGTGAGATGATCAGACTCCAATGGCAGGGATTGGCCTTGGATTGTGGCGTCAAGCTCTTCCTACGGAGTAATGGTAATGCCGAACTATTTGTTTTGACGTGGGAAGGGGCATAGACGTATGCCGGGCATTGTGTGACAGTGACAGCTTGGCCATATGCATGGGAAAGCCAGCCCACCTATCAGGACTCGTCCTAACCAGCCTGCTCGATCTAAGATCGTATATCCGGCTGATGGTGTTTAGGGATGCACCTTGGGTTGAACCGTGCACTATGTCACGCAAGCTTTGAATGCCAAATAGCCAATAGGTAAGCCCGAATGTGCCGTGCTGGAAAAAGGAAACCTAGCTGATGCCCTAAATACGCAGCCATATATTGATGAAGTGGGTCGCGGGGGAATTCTTCGGCATCTTTGATATATGACCAGCCAGGCAGATCGGCGGACTGGAGAGGCTGACGCTGACCCGCTTCCACGGCTGAACAAAACAACAAGGTACAGTCCAAGAAATCGCTTGTGCCATTCTGTTTCCGTTGCAGGCGGTTCCCAAGTTGACTATTGTTATCGGAAGCCGCGGCATGCGCGTCTTGATCTACCTGGGCCAGTCGCCCCGGCTGTAGGCCATCCAGGACGATGGTAAGAGCATCCACCGGAGCTCAGCTTGCTCTACAGCTGAATCAGGGCCAATGGCTGCACAGAAGCGGCCCTGACAAGCAGCTGTCCTCTCACTTGCATGAACATTGTCATCTTGTCGAACCTCAACAAGTGGATCGATGTCTGGCAGACAGACTGGCCCCGCTCCATCAAGCTAGATGTGATACATGCCGTCGATCGCCAAGTAGCGAGACCCCGCTGAGACATCGGGAACCGCTGTGATTTGGCTGGGCTGATTGAGAACTCGACGCAGGAAGTCAAGCTCGCAGGAAGAACCCGGGTCCACGGGTTAACCCTGGGTACTGTGCAGGCCTCAGCAGTCCCGACGTCAATGTGATGTATCACTTGGTCTCATCGAAATGGCGCAATTGCATTCATCACGCCAAAAGCAACGGGGATGACAGGCTCATTGAGTTACCTGGGTGACGGTGATGGGTAGAAACCCGTCCGCGACGCCATTCAGGCCTTTCGCTTCTCCCATCATTCTCGTCATACTTGCAAGCACCGGTCCAGTATCCAACGTACCTTTTCCATCATGGGGTCCAACTCGCAATTCTCAACGGATGTCGGGCTCGCGCGGCTGCTTGAGCAAAAGCTCGGCCAATTCAGCGAACAGGTGGCAGTCGAACAGGGGACCCAGAGGATGACCTTCCGTGACCTGCATGTTCAAGCATTGGCACTCGCGCATGAAATCCGTGTGCGGACGAATTCCCAACCAATTCCAATCCCGATTGTTGCCTCGCGAGGCATAGAGCATATTGTATGCCAGGCCGCGGTGGTGCTTGCCGGTGCAATCTGTGTTCCGCTCGACGTCGAGCTCCCCGACGATCGCCTTGGAGAGCTCATTTCCTATCTTGAAGGTGCTTGCTTGCTGCTCACGGATCCAAAGAATCAGGAACGCTGTCTGCCCACGAATATTCCACACGTGGTGGTCGACAGCCGCATCCCGCAGTCGCAGCAAGTCGGGAACGGTGCTTGTAACAAACACGAACAACTTGACCAACAAAATGGGCACGCTCATGATGAAGTCGCTACCAATGGCCACGATTGCAACTCTGTATCCCACATCTTTTTCACCTCAGGCTCAACCGGGAAGCCCAAGGCAGTGCAAGTTCGGGCGTCGGGTCTCCTCAATTTGATCTTCAACGATTTTGCACCACTAGGACAAGGCCAACGCCTTGGTCATGTCTGCAACACGGGGTTCGACGTGTCCATGTGGGAAATATGGTCGGGCCTTCTTCACGGCGCGACAATTGTTGTCTTCGAGCGAGGCGAGATCCTAGACGCGCACATCATGGAGCAGAAGCTCCGCGAAGCCAGGATCGATGTGATATGGCAGACAACGTCTCTGCTTGGAATCATCGCGCACGTCTGCCCGGCAGCCTATGCCACGGTGGATACGCTCTTGACGGGGGGTGAAGCAATCAATATGCAGACGATCAGGAGAATCTTCGACCACGGCCCGCCGCGCAGACTGTACAACGCGTACGGCCCGACTGAGCTATCTGTCCTGGCAACGTACCACCTTGTTTCCGAGGCGGATCTCGACCGGGACCTCATACCAATTGGACGCCCGCTTAGTGGTTACGATGCCTTCGTGGTCGGTGAGGATATGCGAGAAGTTTGTGATGGCGAAGTTGGCGAGCTTGTCGTTGGAGGCATGGGGGTTGCTGCTGGCTATCTGGGCAACCCGGAGAAGACGAGCAAGGTCTTTGTCCATGCGCCTCACTTGGTCGACGTGGGTGGGATTGTTTATAGGACGGGCGATCTGGTGCGAAAGAACGGCTCTGGTCAGCTGGAGTACCTCGGACGAAGGGACAACGAGGTCAAGATTGGCGGACAGAGAGTTGAGCTCGAGGCCGTGGAGCGGTGTCTTCTAGACACAGGATTAGTGTCGCTGGCTGTTGCATTGCGAGTCTCGGAGCGCTGGGCCGGGGAAGGATCATGCTCGTCGCTGCTGGCCGCGTATGTTGTTCCCATGTCGGACGACATCGATGACAGGTCGATATTGCTGGCCTACCAAGAACGCAGTCGGCATATGATGGTTCCTCGACTGAGAGTTGTGTCCAGAATACCGCTGACAGGGAGTGGGAAGATGAACCGGAAAGCGCTTGCTCGCGAGTTTGAGACCGAGATGGAGGGCATAAAGGGGGGTCCAGTGCAGCAACAACTCGTGGACGCAGGAGATGAACTGAATCAGATCTGGGCGCGCGTTCTAGGACGCTCGCTCTCCAGTCTGTCGGCGGAGGACGACTTCTTCGCTCTTGGAGGGACTTCACTCCATGCGGTGCGTCTGGTCCATGACATCAATCGATCGATGGGCATCTCCCTGGAGGTCGCCATGCTATTCGAGAATCCCACGCTGGAACGAATGTCAGAAGCAGTTCGGAAGCTGCGCAGTCATACGAATGGAAAGACGGCGGATGGGAGAGTGAAGAAGCCGCAGTGGGTTGAGGACATGGATCTCGGCCAGGACTTGCAGGTTACAGGCGCGCCCGTGGACTGGCAGAAGGAGTCCGAAGGCCGCGCCTTCCTCACCGGCGCAACAGGCTTCGTGGGCGCCATGCTCTTGGCCCAGCTTCTGGCCCATCCCAAAGTGACAGCAGTCGCCTGCCTGGTGCGCGCCAAGGACAATCATCATGCTCGTGCTCGGCTGCGAGAAGCTCTCAGCAAGTACAACCAAGCCCTAACTTCATCTGAAGCGGCCAAGATTGTCCCTGTTGCTGGCGATCTGGCTCAGGACGACCTTGGCTTGGGTGCAGAGAACTATCGCCAGTATGCAAACTGGTCCAGCGTGGTCTTCCACCTTGCTGCCCACGTCAACTACATCGAACCGTACTCGACCCATCGTCCCGCCAATGTCCTGGGCACGCTGAATGTCATCCGCTTCTCCCAAGCCTCTCGGTCAAAGTCACTTCATTACACCTCCAGCGTCAGCGCGTACGGTCCAACCGGACTCATCAGCGGAACGAAGTACCTGGCAGAGGACGAGCGGCCCCGAGAACACATGCAGTCCCTCGAGTATGACACCGGCTACGCGCAGAGCAAGTTCACGGCGGAGACGATCGTATGGAATGCGATAGATGCCGGGATGCCGATTACCATCTACCGTCTCGGAAGCGCTCTGCCTCCTCATGGCAACAGCAAAGCCCTGAAGGCCTCGGACGACTTCTTCACCCGTCTACTGAGGACATGCATCCAGCTCGGCGTCTATCCGTCTATACCTGGCCACAGGGAAGACCTCATCTCCATCGACTGGGTTACATCATCTATCCTGCACATCTCCTCCAAGTCAGCCAGCGCCCGCCAGGCCTACAACATCGTGCACCCCCATCAACAGGTGCCAGACCTACCAACCATCTTCCAGTCCGTCAATGGCTACCTTGGACGCCGCCCCCTACGTGAGCTCCCGTATCGGGAGTGGCTGGACACCATATCCCAGCCACCGGATAACCCGCTGACTTCTCTCGTGCCAATGCTGGAGGAACCCGTCCGGGACGGGCTTTCGCGGTGGCAGATGCAACAAGCCGTGCCCAAGTTCTTGACAGATAACCTGCGGCGAGTGCTGGTCGACGCGCCGGAGCTCTTAGACTGCCTGCCTCCTGCGGAGCTGATTGAGATGTATATTCCGCACTGGGTCCGCGAGGCATCGGCCAGTCAAGACGCTACTGCCACCCTATTAGCACCCACCAATTAAGCATGGCAGTCGCAAAGGTTCTGTGCTTCCTATGCTTTTCCGCATGCTGGTACACTCATGCAGAGTGGTTGAGGGAGTCATAGCAGTCAAAACACCGTTGAGCTATGGTGGGGTTGTCAGCTTATGCTATTTTATGTATCCTTTCAACTATGGCCATACATATGTTTCCGTCATGCTCATGTCTCGTTTTCTGGATTAACCATATCATCTTGAAAGAAAGTAGAAGTCCCTACAAAGTAAACCGGAATATGTAGACTGGTAAAGCAATCTTAGCATACACGCCCCCCCTTGCCTGGCCCAACTGACCAGAATACTCTATTCTCAGATACCTCATCCTACTAGGTTAGGTTGTATTTCCTGACGGACGTAACAGAAAACAAATACTTGAACTTATACCTTGTCTCCCAAATGTCAATATATAAGATATATTTGAATGCAACCTTGCCCTGTTGAGCCACGGGGAGCTGGCAGCATCGAGATGTTAAACATCCCATTTTACTCCATCCATACCTAGGTAGTGTTGACTGGTATCTCCCAGGTACAAGCAGAGTCCAGCAAGCCGACTGTTCCCACTTCACTCCCCACCCGTCACCCCCTCCAAGCTCCTAAAAAGGCCCCTCCACTGCTCCCCCTCATCCTCTGCCCTATCAAACAAATCCCCATTCACACTACTCGCATCAACCAATACGTCCCCCCGAACCAGCATCTCCCCACACGCAATCTCCGGCCCAAACTCCTCCAGCGAGGCCGGCAACAAATTCGGCCCGCTCTCCTCAGCCCTCTTCAAATCCCGCCAGATCTTGACATGGAACTTCTGCCCCGCCCGGAAAAAGAAGTCGCTAGGCCGCTCGCTGCACTCCGTCGGGAACGGCTGCATCGGTGCCTCGGGCGTGTTTGTGAGGGCGAGGATCGCCCCGCGGGCCAGCTCGTCTCCGGCGAGCGGGTAGTCGAGGCTTAGCTGGACGTTTGCGGCGCCGAGCTCGATGTTGGGCGATTTCAGCAGGATGTGGCTGATGTGGTGCTGGGTGCTGGAGCCGTAGAGGTAGAAGGGCATGTAGGTTGCTGGGTAGGCGGGTTCGCGGTTTCGGGAGGAGAGGGAGCGGTTCTTTATCACTTTGGTGATTGTGGTTTTTACTCGCGAGATGGTGTTTCTGGACGGGGTTAGTGAAAGCTGCCTTAGCATCACTACCATATCCATGTGGGACGGCCGCTCACCCATCTCCGTCCACCAGGTCTCCTTGGAATGTAGCCTGTCCGTGATTGGCGACTTTGTTCAGCAGGGTCTCGAGAATCGTTTTGTTGCACGTGTTGAGGGATACGACGCCCTTGGCTTTGGCCTTGATGTACGCGTCAAACCCGGCCGGGCTGAATTTGCCTTTGAGGATCAGCTGGCGGCGGAAGCGGGCTTCTTGGAAACGCGGCCGGTAGACGAAGAAGATGTCGCCTGTGCCTTGGATGTAGAAGCGGTGGATGTCTGGTTTGATGGCGTTGCGATCGCGGCAGACCTGTCGAGCCATTTAGTATGGGTAGGTATGGATGGTGGAGGTGCATACCTGTACAGCATCCTCGACGACAGCCCGGAACCTCTTGATAAGATCGTCAATCAACTCATGCTCCGTTGGGAACGCACTCATGACCACATTGCGCAGGACCATGAGGTTCTGCTTCGACCGCGTAATGCCGAGACGATCCATGAAGAGCTCCGCGCAGGTTCCGTACTCGTCGTGCTTGAACTCTGTCGATGTCAGGAAGAAATCTTTCTCTTTGGGCTCGTCGTTGGGCGAGCTGATGGACAGCTCCTTGACGACGCGTAGCATGAGGTAGTTGGCCTCTTCGATGTCGTCGTTCAGCCGCCCGTCTTCGTACCGCCAGTTGAGGGCAAAGGCGTTGATGTTCAGGTCGGAGCCAAGGGCGCGCAGGAGGTTCATTGTGTGCAGCTTTGCATCGTTGGCGACAATCTCCTGGTTTGTCTTTGGCAGGATCTGCTCCCGGATAAAGCGCTTTTCGCCCTCGACGTCGCCTCCGTTCACTTCGCTGGGGAGCCGATTGAGGGCCACGCAGATGAACGAGTCTTCTCGGGTTGTCATTGCAGCCCAGTGTGCGGCGAGCTAGGCAGATGTCAGTTTCACAGGGTGGATAGGATACTAAAGGACTTACTCGAGTACAGGTGAATGTGGCTTCACTCAGAAGCGCCCCGTATCCATTCTGATCCAGCCCGATGCACTCGTTGGCCAGCCAAGTGGCCATGGCCGCTGCACCTGGCTTGCTATTTGCCTTGGTTAGCACCCATCTTCAACCTGGCCCGTGCCTGCTCACCTCCCCTCAACCCCGTAAATCCCAATCGACGTCAACGACCCCCGTCCGACATACGGACAGGCCCAGGTAATAAGGCTGCGCATGCGCTCATCCCGATAGACCAGTGCGCCAGCCGGGTACGGGATATATCCCGCCTTGTGCGGATCAATGGTAATCGAGTCCGCGAACCGCATGGCAAGCAGGTCCTCTTGTGTCTCAACCTTCAAGCCCAAATCAGGCACAAAGCCCTCATCGCTCGTCGACCCTGCAGCCTTGAACAGATCTTCCTGCTTCTTCAGGTTCCGAGGGAGCATCGAGGTAAAGTACCCTCCCCAGGCGGCGTCCGCATGGACAAGGAACGACAGTCCCCGCCGCTGGAAGCGCTTCCGGATGCGCAGGATCTCGCTGAGTCGGTCGACGGCTCCTTCCTCGGTGGATCCGATTACCGCGACGACGGCGTACACGGCTTGTTCGTTGCGCAGGCATTGCTCGAGTTTGGACACGAGGTCGACGAGGTCAACGCGTGCTTCTGCGTCGACGCTCACTCCGATCATGTTCTCGGAGCCAATGCCGGTGATGGCTATGTCTGTCAGCTCATCTCCGTTTGAAGAGCTGGATTATACTCACCACCCCCTTTCGGCCATGAATAGTGCTTGGTATTGGTGAGCAGATACCGGGAAGGCTTTGTGATCTGGTACGCCTGTTCTAACTTGGTCTTGCCGACCGTCTGGATGTTATACTTGTCGATAGCGTCCGCGATGTAGGCGGGAGACACCCCGTACTGGTCATGAAGGAGTTTAGGCAGGTCCAAGACCGTTTCAGGCCGTAGGTTTAACAGCTCCCACGTCGTAAGATCCGCAAAGTTCTTCTCAGCCCCAGCGCACGTCTTCACAAGGAAGTCCTTCCTCGCAAACTGGAGCTGGCCGCGCTTAACCGCTTGATGAAGCGACAGTGGGTAGAACTTGAGGTTGCGTGCTGCGCCATATCTCCCTTAGCCAACTAACCCTAACCCCATTGATATCAATGTGGTGAACTCACCAACCCAAATACTCTCCAAATTCGCAACACTCCCACCAGACGTGACATGCCCCCACCCCGTCGGTTGATCCGCGACGCCCTTCTGATTATTATACCCCAACAGATCACACAGCTGCTCGCCCACGAGGATCTCCGCGGCCGTGGAAAACGGACTCGCTTCGATGGCCACGTTGTTGGGGTTATACAGCATCGTCATGAAATACCCCAGCAGCGAAACCATACTCAGATCCGTGCACATGTGCGCCTGGTACCGGGGCGACCAGAAAGGCACGGACTTCTCGCCGAGGAGCTTTGCGGCGCGGCCGATGACGGTGCGGAATTTCGCTGTGAGGCGTTGGAATTCCGCAGACGCTTTTACCTCTGGTGGGATGAACTTTTTGTCCTGCACAGTTGTTAGCAGAGGCTCTGTCCCCACGGTAGGGGATGTCTGGTTAGGGAATTGACCGGCGGCTGCGGAAAGTACGCCTTCCTCGCCTTCTCAAGCTCATTGAGGATCGTTGCAATGTTCGTCTTGAACTCATCCAGGTTCTCGGCTTCGGGGCCGATGAAGTACGAGCTTATTGCTTGGTGCGTGACGTCGCCGCGGGCCGCCATGTTGACTTTTTTATTTTGAGGAGGAGAATATTGATCGAGGTCTTGATGTGAAAACTGCGAGAACGCGAATATATGGGATTAGGCGAAAACAATCAGCAAAGAGAGCTTGACGGATCAATCTCATAGGCACGCAAGTGGGAAGCGTGTGCCCTGATGATTTTATGCTCAGTGTGATGAATCATGGCGTGCAGGATTGGTGGCATGGACAGGCTCTCTTCGTGTGTCAGACTGCATTAATGGAGGCTGGGCGCCGTACTGCAGATCGAGAATCCCTTCAAGGGTTCGCAAGGCATGACGTGCACGTACCCAGTCTGAGTTGTTATTCGCCCGTACATTGGATAAGCGCCCAGATACCATACCCCGTGCAACATATTGCTTTTTCTGAGTGGCTGGCTGAGGGTACGGAGTAATCCACACGTAATGGGAAACGATGCATCTTCCTGCCATACGTACAGAGTAACTTGTGCCACTACCAGCGAACTCCAGACCCAGCTCCAGGATGGCTTGCGGGGTGCAGCAGGGGCGAGCAAGCACTGAACCTGTGGTTCGCTGGTGGCTTCAGCTCTGAGCGATCAAAGCCATCAACCGCGAACACGTAGATAAGCGGAGTTTCTTTTTGCAGATTGATCGTGAATGGTTGGCTCTGAGTTGACCACGTTTACTTGCAGCTGGGGAAATAAAGTGCCCTTGAATGTAGTTGTATGCGTGTAGCTAACTCCCCCGCCGTACCACTGCACGTCAATCTCGCTGCATCTTGCTGTGAGCCCTCAGAGTGAGGTCAGCATCAGACACCCCAGAGCTCTCGCGATGGCATGCGCCATGCCTAGCCATGGCAGTTATAAACATAAATTATGGTAGTATGCACTGCGTAGACCATCCCCATCAAGCAAATGAACAGACAGAGTCAAGTGCAAACCGGACTCCTAAGAGGCTATCAAAACCGGAGTATCTACCTCACGTCATATTCCAAACAGGCCCAACCCCGCCATCTTGCAGGCTTGCCCCTGGTCTATTCTGGAAGTGTCAGAGCTCTGGAGCCAGACTCTGCTGGGATTGCATGACCATCCGCCATCGGGAGCATCAACAGCTCAAGTTGTGGGACAGAAGTGTCACAGTCGGAGAGTCAATGCGAGCGAGGGCAGCAGTACGCAGAGATTTCAGGCTTGATAGGGGCTAGCCACAGAACTACTCCGTACAAGTCTGGGCTTTGAGGGCAACTGCATGAATGACATTTTAACACTGGATCAAGAAAGCCCGGTTGTACAGTTCGGAAAGGATTTCGAATGGCGACTCAATACTTATGATAGAATTCTGCGACCCTGGAACCGTGCGAAGTATCGCATCATCGCTCGGCAACGGTAGATCAGAATTCAGTCAGGGAGACTCTGCGACGCGGTATACATTCCAGTACTCCAGAATTTAGGTAGTTTTCATGGCCCAGCGCACGGAGAAGCAACCCTAATCAAAAGGGGAAATGATACACTGCACCTGCACATCTGCAGGAACGTGTACCTACCTATAATGGTTATAGCTTGCTAGGGTATATACGGTTGTCTGCTATTAACTCTATATAGCCCAAAGCCACCAACCATTCAGTAGGGCCCAAATCCGCCACCAGGCGCAGTCCACAAGTTCTTGTAGTTGCTGCGCGTCCATATACCCGCCGCACCATGGCGGCTACCTCCCGCGGCCGGGAACTTGATGCTGCCGGCCCTCATGTCTCCGTTGTCAAACTGCTGGAGCCAGCCCGTGTTCCCAAATTCGGCCTGGTAGTTGGCTCTGGCTGCGGTCCTCCACGTCTCGCCCCGGGTCTCGATGTCCCTGAGGTAAACGTCGATCCAATAGCAATACAGCTCGCGGAGGCCGCGATTCCCCCTCTTATCTGGAGTTACATTTGGAGGAAGACCGATCTCATCTTGCTCGGAGCCCCATATGTACTCCTCGTCGAATTCATAGAGCGCGACGGCGATCCCCTGCGACGCTTCGACGAAGGTTGCCCACACCGCCGGGATTTTCATGTACCAGAACACACCTGCGGTCTTTTGTTTTGATCGTAATGTTAGCGCCACAGCGGTTGTCTGGTGAAGGGAGCAGGAACCCAACTTACACTTCGATGCCGGTTGCGCGTGAGGCTCTCGTCGTTGTTGTCGTTAGCGGTGGTCGGGTTCTTTCTCCCGAAGAAGCTGTTCTTTACGGAGTTCATGTTCTTCTCTGCGATGACGAGTCCTTCTAACTTATCGTCGCTGCCGATGTTCAGGAAAAGGCGTTCCCAAAGATTGGTTGGAGGGCCCCCCAGGTCAACCCAGTCTGATGCTGCAAATGGCGCCCTCGTATTGGGCGCCAGCCCGATCAAAACCTCAGACACCCACTCTCTGCTGGCTGTGGTGTAGCCGCCCGGTAGGGGGCCGTTGATTAGCCACTCCAGGAAATACTTGACGGTTTGGGCCTCGTATATATGCTCGGCTGGGGTACACAGGTTAGCTAAGGAAGTATATGGACGTATTGGCAGCTCGCCTGTGCTCCTGGGGAGGATTGAAGTACTTACTGACATATTCGTCTCCAGTCAAGACATATTCATTCTGGCTGAGAAACACGACTCGGGGGCTGCACTTTCTAGGCGCGTATCCGTACCATTTCTCGACGTCATCCAGTTTGGTCGCCACCCCGCACGAAGGGTAATAGACAGCGGTCAAGGTTTCTGTCACGCCGTTATAGTCCCACTTAATGGTCTTTGCCTTACCCTTAACACGTTTCTCCAGTCCGCTCGTGGTAAGGTCGTCGTTCGGTCCGCAGAGCTCTTCGTCCGCCGCGCCGGGATAATATGCGCAGACCGCACCATCTCGCTTTCTCAGGCTGTTCGTATCATAGTCTCCGTAGGTGCATTCGGGACACGGACTAATTTCCTCCTGTTCGTCGTTGGGACAGCCAATAGGGATATTAGGGAGCAGAGGCCCCCAGACCTGTGCACGCTTGCCTAGGAGGTGTTTTCCGTGTGCTGTGCTGTTGGCGTCGACATCGAGGTAGTTCCGGCGTTGAAGAGTGCTTTCGAGAACGCGGATCGAGGAGTTGGTCGGTGCGTCGAGAGCCGGAATTTCGCTGCGCTTGGTGTCCGGGGTCCAGCACTTTGAGTACAGTTCGATGTCATTGCTGGGGAGAAGGTAGTAGGGTGTCTTGGGAAGTGCCCAGTCAATGGCATCCGGTGCGTCGATGGTAGCGTACAGATCCGCGCCTGCATCAATTCCAACGCACACGTTTGTCCCGGAGCTCCCTGTGCCCGCGGATGCGTGGAATGTAATGTGGCCATCGGCAGTCAGTCGCACGGCACAGTCCTCAATGTCGAAGAAGAGATCATCCCACATGATCCCGAACGATATCGATGGTTTGATGTGGGCCGTCACGTACCCGTTGACCCCGACAGACCATTCGATCTCCGGCACCTGGGGCGTCTGGAATCCATCCTTGTTGGGCGACTTCTCGAGCTGAGGGGTGTAGTCGTTCTTGTCGGTCTCTGGGATGGGGTAGGTCTGTTCGATGTCCCAGCCAGCAAGCTTGACCCTGCTTTCGAAGTTGACGCCCAAGGTTGCCGCACCCTCGATCTGGCCATTGACTTCGAAGTTAGGGCCAACTGTGACGATGCCCGGAACAGTAAAGGCAGCCCCGAACTTATCGGCGGAGAAAAGGCGCTTGTTGCCTGTATCGAAACTGTACGTTGCAGCACCGTCGATGACAAACGAGGCAGTGACCTCGCCTTTGGTCCGGAAATATAAGAACGAGTCGCTCAGGTCAATGGGACGGTGGTCCAGCTTTGCAATGACTGTGAATCCGTAGCTGACATGGGCCTCGACGTGGGTTTCCGCATGCACGTCGAGGTAGGCCTCTACACTGGGGCAGGAGAGCTGCTGATCGACAATCTTCAAGATATAGTCCTCCGTGAAGTGATGCCCGAACTCAATGGTCTTTTCCACAGTGCCGATAATGTTCCTCAGCCAGTCAATGATACTACTCCCGAACCAGCGTTTGTGCAAGTCCCCGCTCGAGACGCCGCCGAAGTGTGCATCGTCACGCCACTCTTCCTCCAGCCATCGACGGTGATTCCCGTTCACATCATGCAGCTCACGCTTGCGTCGTTTCTTGACGTCTGCGGCTTTGTCGACAATGTTGTCCCAATAATCCACGTCGTTGCTGTAATCAATCCGCAGATTGGTCTCACCCAGGTCGCGCGGCACGCGTTTGAAGTCATAGTCGAATGTCAGGTCATATACAGTGTCGAGGAGGCCACGGCGTGCGAGGGAGCCGGGAAGTGTTTGGTTGACACTGGGGGAAAGGTCCTTGACAACAGCATATTTACCCGGCCCGCACCCTTGCGGCATTTGGATGATTGTCCCCGGGGCTCCATGTCCCCAGTGGATATTCCCGCAGTTTGACTGCTCGGATGTATCCGTACAGACCATCCGCACCCTGTGTTCGCCAATTGTAGTAGCATCCAGACAGTCGAATACCTCCCAATGGGAGCCGTCTCGTTTGTCAAGGGACTGCTGGATCTCAGCCGGGCTGGTCATCACAACGAATCCAAACGGCGCTTCATCCGGCTCTTCTTCAAGAATCATGAACTCCTCTGGTTCAGATCCACCCCAGGTAGGGTCAACCTTGAGCACAAAGTCGGAGTTGACTTCGTCCTCATCGGGTGCATCTGGGAAGAGATATTCCAACGGAACCGGGAGAAATGGGGAGACACCATCCGGGAGATCACAGCAGAAGGTGCGCTTGCGGCCGGTGATACCACAGTCATCGCCCTCCCCGTCAAATGAGTTAGTGACGGCCACTTGCCAACCAGTGTCGCAGTGGTTATCGAAGCAGCTGCCTGGTTTGCCGTGCCAGGCGCAGTTCTCCCACTTCTGCGCACTGTTGCAGCACAGTTTCTCCTTGCACACGCTGTCCCGCCAGGTCATCTCGTCTTCGTTGTCCTTGCATTGCTCATCACATCCAGTCCATCGACAATCTGGCTGCTGGACCTCTGTTGGACAACAGAAGAACTTGCGGCCGTCAATGCACCAACTCCCATGGTCGCCCCATTTGGACGAGACAACAGCAACCTCGCCATCATGACACTGACCGTTGCAGAACTCTCCGCCATCGTCTCCGCCGTGCCATGTACTGTTCCGAAAGCCATTGTTAGCCGCATGTCTGTCACTTATATTGGGCGTTAAGGCTTGGGATTACTCACCATTTACTAACATCAGGGACTGACGAAACCGGACAGCATATAGCTTGTTCACCATCCGGACGGTTCAATGGCCAGTCGTCGTCACCGCACCAGAACGTATCCGCCTTGATAAATCCCTCCTTGCAAGTGGGGTTCTTGCTGCACTCGCTTGCATAGCACTCGCCCTCGGAGAGTTCTTCCCAGTTGTCAGCACCCTTGGCCTTCTCGCCACGGAATCCGAGCTTCTTGGGGTAGATCACGCCGGCCAGTGCGTTCAACTGCGGAGTGTCAAGGTCGACTGCCCAGATCAACAGACCGCCGAGGCCCTTGCTGTTAGCAAACTCGATCTTGGCCTGGATAGTGTCCTGGTCGTCGAATGACACCCACTGGTCCTGGTTCCACGTGATATACTTCACAGCATTCAACTCGTCATGGACAGGGTCAAGGTTATTCTCATGAATGATATCCATGATCTCCGCATAGGACAGAATACCTGATTGCCCTGTACATGGACCAGCGCTGCCGCCACCTTTGAAGAGGCACCCGGGTTGGGAACAAGCTGGGTCTGCTAATTGGTACGAGCGTCCATAGAACCCTATACCTAGGTTGACTTTAGAGGGATCAACGTCGTTTCGCCAGAGTAAATCCAGCGCCTTGTCAATTTCCGTAAGGTTTGTGTGCGCGAGGACCTGTGAACCGATGGGGTTGTTTGAGTCCCATATGCCATGCAAGTCGTAAGACATTAGGTTCACGTAGTTTACTATATCGGAGCTTGCTTTCAGATCGAAATGACGCAGGTACTGTAAGTGTCAGCTTTGGGTCTTTGCAAATGGTCCATGCTGAGACGGCACTAACCCAGTAGCTGGTTGGAGCAGTAAAGGAGATCTCAAAGTCGGTGCCCCTGTAGAATGTAGCCAGACTTTCCAGAAGCTTTCGAAAGTTCCTCCCATCGTCTTCGTGCCCGCCTCTGTCCTCAGCACCCGGATACTCCCAGTCGAAATCGACGCCGTCGAAGCCATAATGAGATTTGAAGAGTTCCAGCTGCCCAATGAAGGTCCCTCGCTTGTACGATGAGGAGACCATGTCGCTGAAGACGGGTTGCCATACAGTGTGATTATCATTGAAGGCCCAACCTCCTAGCGCAATGATGACTTTCAGATCTGGGTTTCTCTTCTTGAGGCCGGCGACTGCAGCAAATGTGTACTGATCAACGGGCTCGGAGGCCCCGTCGGCACCGTCGTCCATGGGCACGATCTTATACGTTTCCGGCTCAATATATCCAAAGGCGTAGTAAAGATGCGTTAGACTTTCCACCGGAACATCATCAATGTCCATGTTGATGCACTTCTTCTGGTGATTCCACACTTCATAGTACCCGATAATGCGGTCTCGAACCTCGCTGCCAGAGGCTCCAGAGCCCGGTTGGTCGCAATTGCTCTGACAACCCGTCGGCTCGTCGTCGTCATCGTCATCATTGTCCTCACCTCTGTCGCAGAACTCGGCCGTTGTACCACAGAACCCATACTGACTGCAGCAGACGTTGAGGGGACACTCGTCGCCCTTTGTCTCGGCATAGACACCACACTCGGCGTGGGCATCGCAGTTACTCCAACACACATCGTTTGGAGACTTCCCATCTTCACCACAGTACTTTGGACCGAACCCGCAGTATCCGGACTTGGCACAGCAGGCCCCGTTGCCGCAGGGCTTATTCTCGTTGCAAGAGTACGGATCGTCGTCGGTGTTTGCTGCTAATGCACTATGGATACGGATGTTTGTGGGTGTTGGTGCCGGCTCAATGGTTTCGTTCGCATCGCAAACACCTTCTGGAGGGCGGATTTTTGCTTCAAGGTCCTTCGCGTCGTGAAGGATTGGCGAGATGGGAACGCAGACTCCCTCGCGAGCAGCATCGCGACGGCCATGTGGGCGTGGTTTTGCAATGCCTGGGATTGCATTGGCCAGCATTGCGGCCGCGAGCAGGCTGTTCAGGATGGCCACTTTACGTGGAAACATTATATATAATAATAACGCATAAGTGAATATATGGAGACCAAAATATGAAGGGAGGACGTGGGCTGGTGGCAAGGGCTAGGACTGCCTCGAGTGAGGGACAGTATATTAAAAAAATCAGAGTAAAAGAAAGAAAGACCAGAGAGGTCGTAACTCGCTGCGTGCCTCCGAGGTGAATCTTGGATATCTGTTTTACAAGAGCTAGACCAGCCTCATTAAGTATCTACGCGTACCTATCCATTCTTCTCAAGGGCCGCCCTTCTCCTCCGTTAGCTCGGCTCTCCTGCCTTTGCTGCGATGGCAACTCTGCCCCGAAGCTGCTCGTATAGCGGGAATTCCAGTTTCCCATTGGATTCCGTTCTGTCGCCCTAATGCATGACCAAACCACGACTTGATTGTAGGCCTTGGAGGATTTGGGCCCAGCACCATTGGCGCATCCGACATACGCCGTCGTATTATCGGTGTATCAGAAATGTGATACGGATTCCCGAGGTTCCTCCAAGCGCCACGACTGGTACCTAGGGGCAGACCCTTGTTTCAGTCGGAAATGTTGATCGGCGCTGTGCGGCTGTAGGGGTCCTGGGTTGGACGCGGCTTAGGGTTGACCCACAGGTATGTAAGGCTAAACGGGGCGAACACGGCCCTGGCCGCCCGCCTGGCCGATCCCATCTCTTGTAAATTGCTTGATGGGGTTAGACAATGCACTTGTGATATGATACAGAGCGCGTTATGGGCCCCTTTGCTAAGAATGCTAAGAACCCTGCTAGTTACGCTATTTGTCATGCTCAAAAGCAACCCTACATTCCCATGTGCACCTGTGATAGCCCCTGCCCTTGCAAGGCAATCTCCGAGCATCGATCAACTGACATTTGACAACAGCTAAGCGAGCCGGACCGTCAGGTACCCGCTGGATCCGTCCCCTGATACCTCGAGGCGAAAGGGCATCCACATGCCGATTCAGGCTAATGCAGGGGTTGCCCACACTTGCTCAGTCTGGAGGCTCGACCAGAGTCCCCGTGCAACGCAAAGTTACCAAACGCCCCGGCCTGACTTGGATACTGCTTCACAAATATCACTTCCAGGCTAGGTCTGTTACTCTCGGTACTTCCAGAGTCCCTCAACTCTCGCCATTCCATTGCTCTGTTCCCACCTTTGACTCGGTATGGCATGCCGTCTATTTGCAGCGTTTGCCGTCTCTTTGGTCGTCACCGGTAGCGATGCAACCCAGTTCTTGACTGACAAGACCCTGCCTGAGGGTACACTGTCGGACGAATGTGCGAGCGCGCTGGTTTCCAACATCTCCTGTCCATACCAAGTGGCTACCTTTCTTCAGGACCGATACTACCCCGTCGAATCTCTTGCGGAGGCCTGCACCCCTTCATGTGAGCAAGGACTCGCAGCGTACGAAGAGGGCATCTTCTCTGCATGCAGTGACGCTGATGTATATCGGCAATCTGAAACAAGATATGCTCCAGCGTATGCAATTCCCATGGAGTACTTGTATTATTATAACAAGACATGCATCCGAGATGACGAGCGTTGGTGCCATAATGTGGCCCATCAGATGGCGACCGGAGAGATTGCTGCAGACCGTACGTGCCTATTGTATTTCGACTCTTGCTATTTCTCCTGCTTATTATCGTTTGCAGGATGCGACGACTGCGTGATTAAACAGTGGCAGTTCGTTGCCGGCTCGCCGATGTACGCTGGTAATCAATTGAGGTCAAGCTACACTGCCTTGACCGAAAGCTGCTCTAAAACTGGTTTTCCATTGGCACCATCGACCTCGCTGTAAGCCTGAACGACCATGGAAAAGAAGAAATAATGGACTGACGCTGATATAGCCCGGCTGCTTCTGGTACCGCAACTCCCACCCCAACCCCGTCAACCTGTAGCGGTAAGGCATATACCATCCAGCCCGGAGACACATGTCAGTCAATTTCCAAGTCTCAGGGTATTGGCACCGCGCAACTGCTTGTCGATAATGATCTCGCGGCATACTGCAACGGGTTCCCAACCCAGGGTGACTTATGCATCAACCACGCATGCACCACTCATACCGTGGCCGCCAATGAGACATGTGCAGATATCGGACGGAAGTACATTGTCACTCAGGTGCAGCTGACCACTTGGAACCCTATATTGGGCCAGGATTGCCGGCACATCGAGCGGTCTGTAGGTGACAGCATATGTGTCTCGCCGCCAGGAGACGACGGTTCCTGGACCCCGATTACGATCCCATCCGCCGCGTCCTCAACAGCAACTCCGATCCCTACCCCGGCCCCTGTTCCTACCAACCTGGCAAATGGCACAGTGCGGCGTTGCTCACAATACTACCTCGTGGAGCCGGGCGACTACTGCAACAAAATCATCCTCAAATATAGCATCTCGCTGGAGGACTTCCTGTTCCTCAATCAAGGGGTCAACCAAAACTGCACCAACCTCTTCGCCGATGAGTCTTACTGTGTCTCTCCTCTCGGCTCCATTGATGACTACCCCGGCGCCCCCGGCTATATTGATCCCAGTGCAACCTACTCGGACATTGCATACTCCAGCTATCCGACGGCGACATTTACCCCTCCCCTCGACGTCAACCAGACGACGCTGTTACTCATATCTCCGGACGGTCGAAAGGACTGTTACCTCTATGTGGCCGGAACTGAACTGCAGATTGACGTCTCCGGTACATTTTACACATCTCCCTGCCAAGCCATCGCGGAGGCGTGGGGTAAAGCAGTGGAGGATTTGGAGTCATGGTAAGATTGAATTCCACTGCTTTTACCTGCGGAAAATGTGCATCCTTCTCTGACTACGTCGCGTACAGGAATCCGTCCATCAGCGCCAACGGCACGTGCAGCTTTAGCCCTAACTTCAGGTACTGCATGGATCCAAACCGGCCCACAGACAGTGGCCTTGTAACGACAAGGACTTCTGTGCCGTCCTCTGGCACATCAGCGACGTCTGTCAGTGCTACAGCTTCCGTGAGCACAACCGCTACCGCGACCGCGACGACGACAACAACGAGCGAAGGCCCTCCCGGCCCAACCCAGTCAGGGATACCCGACAACTGCAACAAATGGCACCTGGTCACCAGTGAGTATCCTCTGTCCTTGAGTATCTGGTACGTAAGCTAATGGTTGCACAGGTTCGGAGGAAAACTGCTCGAGTGTGGCCGCCGAATACAACATCAGCCTGGAGCAGTTCTATTCCTGGAATCCCGCTGTGTCGGAAGATTGTGTGGATGGCTTCTGGAAGGACGAGGCTTATTGCGTGGGTATAGCAGAGTAGATTTCTAGTATCGTCACCCTGGGTACAATACCTCAAATACCAGAGATGATGAGTGGATCGCCAAGCCTGTAGATTCCCTTACTAGCGGTAAAGTACCGTACCGTTCACCCCGTACTTAAATGTGTTTGTCCCCGCAGATCTTCCTACTAGCGGTAAGATACCGTACCGTGGACCCGTACTTAAAGGTGGATTGTCCCCCAAGATCCTGTCGATTCTGTATTCCATCCATCATTCCTCTCTTCACTTCATCGAGTCTATATCCAGAATGCCAGTGTTAGCCGATCTCCCTGACCTACCCCCTGAATTACTCGACGAAATCTTCGCCCTCGCTTTTGACACCGCGCCCAGCATTGGTAAAACCGTGCAAAAAGGAGACATTGACGTCCAAGGTCTCAGCCGTCTACTGCTCGTCAACCGCAAATGGTACCAGGCGTTTGTGCCCCGGTTGTACTCTCGCTGGACCTTTAACGGAGCGCGGCACAGCTACAGCGGGTTATGGAAGTTCATTCGCACGGTTGTCACAAACCCCGATCTCGCCGCGAGAGTGCAGGTGCTGAATATTGGGAACTGGGGAGGTTCTCCCGCGTACTACCTCGCAAGGCATCACGAGCTCTTAGACCAAGATAGGAGTCTACATCTATCACCCGACGATGAGGAAGTCGCTAAGATGGCGATTCGGCGTGCGGGTCTGACAGATGAGCTTGGGTCTCAGATTCTCCGAGCGGTCTTTGCTAGCGACAACGACTACCGAGACCGACGGCCATTGGTGGCGCTTCTACTGTGCAGTTTGCCACGAGTGTCCACTGTATATGCGCATGTTCCGGAGACGGACCCGTTTTTGGGGGGTGTTCTGAAGGTAGCACTCGATCAACAACAAGCCGCCTCATCCGCGGAATCAGCCTTGCTTCTGGGGCTGAGGGAGTTGCATGTCCTCAGCGAGGTTCCGAATTCCATTGAGGACGGCCTCAAGCCGCAGGATGACGATATCTCGGAGCCTTCCCTGCAGCTACATGATATATGGCCCGCTCTGTATCTGAGGCATCTCAACACACTCCGTCTCTATAACCTGGACCCGGACGGCCTGGGTCGCCTCCTGCAGGAGACAATCCCAGTTCAAGGCCAAGGAAACGAATGTCATATCCAGCATCTTCACATCGCCACAAAGAGGACATCGGCTTGTAGAGCAGAAGATCTGACCGCTCTGCTCACTCTGCCGACGGCTTTGAAGAGTCTCTCCCTTTCCTGGGACATGGACAAGACCAAAACCAAAAAGATCAAGGGGAAGAAGCGCAATGTCTGGCAGATCTCTAACAACGAGGTGTGGAACGCCATTCAGAAACACAAAGGGTCCCTCGAATATCTGGATATGTTGCACGCCTTCCCTGCGGGACCGCGTCAACACCGGCCAGAGGACCACTTCGGTCTTCTAACTGCGTTCACGAAGCTGAGTTATCTCTCTATCATGACTGAGATGCTCATCGGTGGCTACCATGAGAACACAACAGCCCCATTTCGTCTGAAGGACACCCTGCCCGCCAGTATCGAATCCCTAGTCATCGCAACCGATTCCGCCTCCAATACAATCCCCGACCTCATACCCCAAATAGCGGAGGTAGTATCACAGTTTCCCCATCTCAAATCCTTCCAAACAAGCGACTACTCCGCGGCATCCGGTTACCTCCCGCCGGGAACAATACCATCCAAGTACCAACCCATCAAAGAAGCCTGTTTTGGCCGAGGCATCCGTTTCAGTTTCCAAGGACTCTGCTCACCTACGATCAAACTAGAGCAGTGCCCATATCCCCTCGGCGCCCGGTGCATCAGCCGATGGAAGCAAACATACAAGCTCCGCATCGACGGCATAGCGCGGTACAAAAGCCTGCATTCACGCGCGAAACGCAAGGCCGCAGGCCGCAGAGAGACTCCATCGCCCCCACCAGCTCCAGCAAGACGCAGATGGAGGAACAAAACACACGTCATCCCCTTCCAGGACCACGGCGGACATGCCTCGTTCATGGTGTTCCAAAGCGAGGAAAATACCTTACTCCCGCCCCTAATGAACATAACCATCTACTTCACGCATCCGGAGGGCCCACTGCCCCAGCCCGCAGACCTAGAAGCCGACCTGAGAGCCATGCACGCCCAGATCACAGCCGACGGACTCGACGAATTCCACTACCGCCTCGACGTCTACTTCCTGCCTGCCGCCGACAACGACGCCTGCATCGCCCACTACCAAGCCGAGAAGGCAAGCCGCGGAACCTCGCGAGACATGTACAATGAAGCAGAGATCCGACTCGATACCGATTTCCCGCCCCCGTCGACCCCGCGCCTCCCGGGGATGGTGCAGACATACCGGCCCGTCCGGGGCGCGAACTTCACCGGGCTGATGTTCGTATACCCGGACCGGACTTGGAGGGGGGGCGCGCAGCAGATGTGCCGTATCCGCTACGGGCCAGGCTTTGAGCTCGGACAGCCCTTTGACGCGAGGTGGTTTGGGTTTGTGCCTGGTTCGGCAGAGTCGTTGGGACACATGATCTGGGAGTACTCACGTGCAGGTGATACGAATTGGCAGGAGGGGATTCGGATATACCAGGATGTTACGGAGAGGGGGTGGACGACGTGGTGAGGTAGTGTTCGGGGGGCATAGAGATGTCCACAGCCCTTATCAACACTGCAATTGTGGCAGCTCCTCCGGTGTACCTGCTGTGCCTAGTATTGTATCCAGTGATAAGTAGCAATATGACTCGTTCTTGCCTTTGATCACAACATTCATTGCTCTTGAATGTTGATGGTTTGAAAGGGAGTCCGCATGGCCTCAATCGCCCGGGTGGCACTGCAATGAGTCTAAACTACCAAACTGCTACTGCTTTGGAAATACTCGTATCAGCAGCATAAACCTGCGTGACATATTTGAGTAGCAACTTTTGTCTTGAGGCTGGAAGTAGGAACGGACCAGGGCGGGTTTGAATACATAACCGCAGTGCAGTGCAGTGCACTGGAAATATATTTCGTGATGGTATAAAAAAAAAACACCAAAAAACCGCTGGAAAAGCTACGACCTATAAAGGCTTGATTTATGCGCGTAACTTCGGATCAATGACGTGCTCTCAGAAGACACCTTAGCAATAAGTAGAAGTTGGTAAAATCCTAGGTATATTATTCACGGGTGAAGAAGAGGAGGAAGAAAAGAGAACAAACAGGTGGTATGGGTAGTCTATGGTAGGTATCTGATATAGCAGCAAAAGAAATTCTAAAACAACAGAACATGCGGCTCTTGCTCAGAACAAGACAGAAAACGTAAAGTAAAGCGCCAGCAAAAGTGGCAAAGACAAGTAGGGATAGGGGTCGCGCCGTGGTCTATCAACTCCGTCCCTTTTGCAAGCCCGTTATTAGATCATTAGGGGTTTCGCGGTGATGCAATAAGTGATTTTTGAATGAAAAAAAAGGAAGAAGAAGCGAGAAAACGCCGGTTGACAGGAGAGTTGTCGCCAGTGTACAAAATATTTGTAGAACGCCGGCCGTGCAAGGTGTAAAAGTGGAGTACGCTGGGTGATAGAAAAAGCGTATCGTGCCTGTGGCAATGGAGTTCGGCTATTGATAGGTTCAAATAGAGATGAGAGGGTGTCCTTTCCCAACGAGGAGACGTGAGCAGTATACCATCATTCGACGTCAGTTGAGAAGGAGTTGCGTGGCACGTAAGAATCAGGAAAGTGATGTAGCTCTGTTCGGGTTGGTCGTTTGTCATGATTATGCTGCCGCAGAAACAGCGACAGCACGATATCCCTTTGCGAGCTCCTCGCAAGCGCCCCAAATCCTCCTCCGGTTCGCAATGCCCATGAGGGTCGGATCCTCAAGGCCGTACTTCGGCTTGGTGACGGAATCAAGCCAGGTATACACCTGCTTGTGGTTCAGGTCCACACCAGGAGCTGAGTTGCGCAGGATTTGGGTTAGACTCTCCGCCGGCGCTGTCGAGTCGAAGAGCCATGGCATATCGGACTCAATGAAGGATCGCCAGAAATAGTCGTCGTTCGTCAGAAGGTGGATGAAAGGGGATGCTTGAATAAGAGACTTGAGTGATGACCCAGGGAGGAACGAGCAAATTTGGTAGACGAGTTCGGCGGGAAGAGCGCCGAATGGGTTCTTGGGTGTTCGGGTGTCAAAGTTGAGGTTTTTCGATGGGGTGTGAAGGGGTTTGTTGGTTTTCAGTTGTGTTTGCATGAACTTTGCGAGGTTTGGTGTGTTCGTGGGGTGGCGAACGGAGAACTGCGTGCCTTGTTAACCAAGTTGGGCCGAAATCAGACATGATGTGTACGTACCTCTGCCCCAGGAAGACAGCGCCAGTACTGACCCTGGGCGTGGGCAACGTCATCACCGTAGGCGAGTCGCAGGGCAGAGCCTGAGCTATTGCACATGCCCATCATGACATCGTAAAGAACATCCAGGTCGACGTCCTTGGGGTCCGTCGTGCCTGTCAAAGATCGAAGGAGGATCTCAAAGCAGCACCAGTGGAAGGGCACCACCGGGCCAGGGGCTTCATCCGTCCCGAAGCCGTAGCTGGACGGGAAACATGTTAGTCGAGGCGGCTCTCTTCAGTCGTAGTAGGAGTACCGCACCAGTTGAAGTATGTTCGCTTTGCCCGCTGTCCCATCTTCACAGCTAGCTCGCCCTGCCGTCTGTTAGCCAGGTTCGTTTACTTTGAGGGGGGAAATGGACGTACTGCATCTGCGTAGTATCCTGGTCCGGAGACAAACGCTCTGCTTGATACGCAGTCAGGCTTTGTTTAGATCAGTATACAGGTCGTGATTGGCCTACTTGTTCTTCCCCTTGACCTCGTGCATCCCCAAGCAGTGTACCTGCTTTGTCCAGGCAATGTTGTCCTGATCGACCAGGCGCGGGTCATAGCTTTGAATGGACTCCTCTCCATCCTGGGGAACAGGCGGTCGTTCTTCCGCACTGTCCAGCGACCGAGATACACTCTCGACATATTGTCGTCGTCGCTCGGCCGTAGCATCTGATGGTGTCCCGATGCGCATGCCGGAGAAGCCGACGCCGCAAATGGCGCAGTAACAGTCGAAGGCCATTGTAGTGCAGTCTCAGTATACCGTCCGTCAAGTTGTCGTACAGGATAAGAATCAGATCACAACAATCGAGGAGAACAGGCCAAAAATCAAAGGTTGGGGAGAGAATCAACCCAAAATTAGCCGGGCGTGGCCAATCAGGGGCGTTTGCAGTGGATCTCGACAATTTCTTTCCCGTCGCATCCATCCAGGGCACCAATCACCACGTGTCGTCTCGTCCACCTGACTGCCATCGGGGCCACCGCCATCTCGGGCTCAGCCTCGGTCAGTCCACCCCCGCCCCTTTCGGCAACTCCGTGCTTGTCTCGGGTTGCTGGAAAGGGTAAAGCGGTGGAAGCTCAGGAGGAGAGAAGCCCGAGCTGCCGAGTCCCGGTCGCATCCAGCCATCCACGGGTTAGGGCACAGCGCCATGGTTGACTCGGTCACATGACACAGGCATGATTCGTGCAGGTTGGCAAAGAGAAACTGTGAATCGGCCATAACTCGGCTTGCTTCGCGGTATCAGGGACATATCTCGCCCAGAGACAGCCATCGCGCGATTCGCGCGCATCTCCGACCGCGTTGTGTGCTTCAGGGCTTCTAGACAGGTCTGTGGTGGTCATCTGGCACTCCCATCGAGTCGAACCATCGATTATCGCCACAAGTCGACGCCACGCTTGGCCTCGACGGCCATCTGATCGATGTCTCACCGCGCAGAGTGACAAGAGGGAAATGGCGTGCAAGTTGGGAAGCAACGATGCCGGGGACGCGCTGAACTTGAGGAAGGCGAGCCCGGGTCGGTCGGATTTGAAAGACACTCACCACCCCGCACTCATCGAGTCACCATCTCAATTCCTTGATTCCGAATTGGAGTCATTATGATCGTCAGCACAGGGCTGGATCCTGCAGAACCTCCTCAACGCTCGCACTCAGCCCTACGAAGCAACGCCAGCCATTGGCCTGGCTGGGCCTGAGGAATCCAGTTGCCTAGAGTGGGACCCAGGTCAATATCAAGACTGGGGAGAAGACGATGGCCCAGCCTTTCAGGGCGCAGAACGCCCGTTGCTCGTGCAGCGTCATGATTTACATAGCCTTATCTATCAGCCATGCGGGATTTTTCATCATGGATTGGTCGAATCACAACGACCCTGACGGTCAGCGCTGCTATTTTGATCGCTGTGGACATACAACCGGCATCTTGGCTGCAGAACCGTTGAAACTGGACAATGACCTCATTGAACAGTAAACAACGTCCGTGAGGGGAGCCCTGCCTGCGGGGAGTATATTCCTCCTATAAGAGGGCTCGTCTAATCCTGCAGCGGCGGTCATGACAGGGGTTGTCTGCAGTGCAACCTACGACGGGATGTTCCTCCGCGTGAGGGGAGACAGTGGTTTCCAAGGGAATCTGCCGTTCGATCCGAAGTCAAAGGACAAAGACTGGTCCACTATAGGGCCAAGTCGAATCTTGACTTTCTTGGCCGAAGCTTGGATGGTATTGAGATCCATTCTTTGTCTATGTGCTGCGTATTCCGGGCCTGCGGATGCGAGGCCCGATCTGCGCATTTCCACTGTTTCAACCGAACAGCCATGACGATGATGACCACCTCCACAGCTCAGGATCAGGATCGCATCCTTGATCTCGCAGGCAGCAGGTATTATCAGCCCTGACGACGCAGGACGCACCCCCGCATCGATACCAATTCGGTCATAGCCAGCATCCAACCTGCAAGGTCACAGTCGGGTCAGCTTAGCCCGATTTCTCCTCACGAGGACCTGCAGGGTTACCAGCTGAAAGACGGCAGAGAGGACGGAGGGGCCGATGCCATCCTTCCCCTCATCCGGCAGCGCAGTATAAAGCTCGGTAGGGACGCCCACCTCTCCATCCGATACAGCGCAGCAGAGCGACGACCGCACAGCACGCACCCGATTGCCCACGATGAAGTCCACACTCGCCATCTGCCTTCTTGCGGCCTTGCCTTATATCCAGGCGGCACCGACGTTCCCCCGCGCTCCCGTCGTCTCTAAACGACAAGGGACGGATCCGAATCCCCCTCTGCACGGATCGAAGGACCTGCTCGGCTACTCGCCCAACAACAAGCTGACGGAGCAGACCACGGAGGATATCGTTTATACACTGGCCGTTGGTCAGAAGGAAGATGCCGACCTGGGAGTATACCTGGACTTCACGAACGTTGAGAACCCACAGCCCATCCGCGGATCCAAGGGAGGCACTGATCCCGGTCCCCGTAAGCAATGGCCGTTGACCCATATCACTTCCTGCTCACACTATCAGGAACCACTGAATTCGATCGCCTGAACAGCGACAAGCTAGCTCCTCCCGGAACAGACCATGGCCAGACAATCAACGCGAACTGGCCTATGTCTCTTAGCAAAGCCAAGTACGTCAGAGCTCTACCATTCTTGTTTCTGCTAACACCGAATAGGCTCGGTCTCGACGGTGCGGGATGGTCTCGTCAGGAGAACGTCGTAGTGATGCCAGGTGCAACCAAAATGGCAGGTGTCGACATGCGTCTCGAAGCCCACGGATATCGCGAGCTGCATTGGCATGAAGCCGGCGAGTGGAGCCTTGTGCTGAACGGGTCGTGCAGGATTCAGGTATGTCCTCCACATACTGCTGCGGCTCGACTGACCGAGTAGGCCGTGAATGAAGACGGCGAGACCTTTATCGACGATGTGACCGAGGGCGATGTCTGGTTCTTCCCTCCGTGAGTTTCCCCTCCGCGCAATCGAAAATGGTACTAACTATACAGGGGCGTCCCACACTCGATCCAAGCCCTCGACGTCGGCGTCGAGTTCCTCCTCGTCTTCGACGACGGCTCCTTCTCCGAAGACAACACCTTCCTTGCCTCCGAGATCTTCGCCCACAACCCTGTACGCCTCCCGCTCCACATCCACAACCCAACTGACATTAGTAGAAATCCGTCCTAAGCAAGAACTTCGACCTCCCCATCTCGGCGTTCGACAACATCCCCGACGGCGAACTCTTCATCTTCCCCGGCACCCCCGCCCCCACCGACATCGCCGCCCAGAACAAGTCCACTGCCGAAGGTCCCATCGAGCGCGACCTCACCTACAGCTACCACTTTTCCGAGCAACCCGCGCACATCGTGCCAGGTGGAAGCGTGAAGATCGTCGACCCGCAGAACTTCCCCGCCGCTAGCAACTTCGCCGCCGCGATCGTGACCGTCAAGCCCGGCGCCATGCGCGAGATCCACTGGCATCCAACCTCCGACGAGTGGAGTTTCTTCATCCGCGGTCAGGGACGCGCAACCCTCATCGAAGCGCCGAGTACCGCGACGACATTTGACTTCCACCCTGGTGATGTCGGGTACTTCCCCATGAGCCACTCGCACTATATTGAGAACACGGGCGACGAGGATCTTGTTCTGCTGGAGGTGTTGCAGGCGGATCATTTCAGCGGTATGCTCACCCACCCCTTTCACTAAATGTCATTATGATGAGTAAACTGACAGCAATTAGATATCTCGCTTGGCCAGTGGCTCGGCTCAACCGATAAGCAGATCGTCGGCGACACGCTGAAACTGCCTGAGAGCGCGCTGAACCACCTCAACTCCGAGAAGCAGTTTGTCGTTGCGGCGCCGACGAACCTCAACGATACGCAGGCTTGAATGGGGTCAAGTCGAAGGAGAGGGCCAGGACTGTGCGGTATTGGTGACGGAGGAAGACAATTGGTGAGGCTGGGGCGTAGATTAGTCTGATGATGATTTACGTGTTGGAATTGGTCGAGCTGAGTTTCTAGTTTCCGTTGCATTTGCAAAAATGTTCTTAGACAAATGAGGTGGAATGGAAATGGTGTATCTCTTTTCCCACGGGGTCTGCTCGTACATCTCATCCCAAGTTAGCCGGCTATTCTGGTTTCAGTCTGGGGACCGAGGGCATTGTGTTTGTTTGCCTGGGCTTCCTACTCAGGTGCGGCAGTCGGCCTTCGCAGGGTCCGAGAATTAGAATAATTTGGGCCCGCATCGGGACGCAGAATTGAAGGGAGAAGACGTGAGGAAGAAAGGGCCATGAGAAAGTGTTACATCCTTCCTCTAAAGGGACTCCAAGGGTGATGGTGAATACAACACCGTGGGTGTGTGTTCAATTCAGGCGGGAAATCTGCCCGCAAAACGAGTTCGTGCGCGCAGTCGCGCGAGAGATAAAACAGAATGCGGACCTTTTTCCTGGTACGGGAAATAGACTCGTCTCGGGCCAGGAGTTCAAAAGCGTAGCCCGAGGGAATGGGAGTCCGTCGCCATTCCTAGGTGTTCTCATGGGCATTGTACTGTTTAAATCCCCCAACCCCGCAAGGGATCAGAACCGCCAGTATCCCTCTCATTCTCAGCGCGCAGTCTCTGCGCCTGCAGTGCCAAAACGCGCCGACCAAGCGTTCCACCACAGATCGGACCAAGCAGCGTACACAGCGAGATCGCGCACACGGCAATGAGGTACGTCTTTGATGAACCACCGTCTTGGGGGTTCTGGCCAAAGATACCACTTGACTCGGCGAGCGATGCGACCAAGTATCCGATTTCGCCGCGGGCGACCATTGCGAGGTGGAGGATCGCGGCTGGGCATTTGGGTTTGGGAGGGAGGGACGAGACGGAGATGGAGGGTTGGCCGTGGTGTCCGGATACATGTGTAGGATTGTCATTGTTGTTTTCATCTTGAGCGGGAGGTGTGAAGGTTGGGGAGTCCTTCCTGCAGGTGGGTATCACCTGAATCAACGGCAACGGGGAAGGTTAGAGGGGGAAGGAAGCACGGTACTGGCCGTGCGACCTTGGGATACCGTACCGTGATGCCGCCGTTCTCATCGTTCTCGCGCCCAAAAGCTCCCAGTCTGGGACGCTTTCTCGTTTCCAGCCGTAGCTGGGACTCAGGTGCAAGACGTCGCATTCGACAGCGACGCCCCGAGAATGCGAATGGACGATGCCAGACTGGACGAGGGTGAGAACGGAATCCGGACCTGCCAGAGCCCCGTGCACATCTTCGAGGTCCCGAACGTCATGAGAATGGTGTAGATGAAGCCCCGCGAGACGACGATATATGGCTCAATCTGACTGGGGACTCTGAGAGAGGGGATCTAAAGATAGACTCGACCGGAGGTGGCCATATTTGGAGGATTTGTGGTTGTGTTGGTGGTTGAGGTGTTATGTGAGTGTGAGGGGTTTACCGTATTGATGCGGTATTCGCCGCAGCGCTGTTTGGGATTGGGATCTGGGTTGAGCGGGACGAGAACGGACTCCATCAGAGATGATGTAGAATTTCAGAGCTAGAAGCACGAAAAGCGTATACGAGATGGAAAGTTATGAACCTTGGAAGATGGTAGCCAGTGTTTGGAAGAAGCTTGAAGAACCTTGGAAGGTAAGGTTGAGAGTGAACCTGGACGAACGAAAAGAGCAAGCGAGCTGGCCTTGGCGCAGTGCCAACCAATCATGTGACCGCTCGCTACCAAGACTTAAGCCGCCTAACCCGATCAGGACGATACCAAGGCCAGCCCTGGATGACTATGGTGAACATGAAAATAGACAAATCTACTCCTTACATAAATACAGCTAATACACAATGTTCCTATCCCATCGAGTGCAGCGGGCAGCTCATCCACCCCATCGTCTGACACTGACACCCGCCCAGATCCAGCCCATGACTATGCGTATACCCCATTGTACTTCCTGAACTGTTTACGGGATATCCGGTGGTCGGGACGAGGATGATAGCGTTGGAGGACGGGCCGAGCGTTTGTAGGATCTGAGGGAGGGATGATTCTGTTTTATTAGCATCAATTGCACCTGAAAACAATTGAAGTGAAAATGACATACCCGTAGCCAAATACACCGACCCCTGGAACCCCCACTGCTCACACAGCTGCATCGTATCAAGGCCCAGCCCAAACGCCTGCCCAGCACCGGCTCCAGCCCCAGCCCCAGCTCCAGTTCCATGCCCCATCATCCCCGTCCCAACGACACTATCCGGGGAAACAAGCTCCGTGGGACTCGAGGTGCCGCTCGTATTCAGCGAGCCGATGGGCGCCGCATCTTCGTACGTCGATGAGAGGACAGGGAGGTGTGGGATCTGGTTGACGTTGAGGTTGAGGTTGAACGACGGCTGGCGCTGGAGCTCGGTTGGGGAAGACGAGGCCGAGGCTGAGCCCGGCGACAGCGAGAGCGAGGACGAGGCGGACGAGGGCGACGGCTTCACTTCGTAGGGGATGCAGGGCGTCGAGTGCCAGCCGTGCAGGGTTGCCGCGGCGCGGAGCTCGCTGGCAATGACGCGTTCTTGGAGTTTGGCGATGCGGTCGCGGATTTTCCGGCCTGGATGGGGTGGTTAGTGCTGGCGTCGCTACCCTGATGCATCTGGAGGAACCCTGAAGGGTGAGGGTAAGGGGGCCTACGATGGTTCCGCTGCGACAGACGGTTCTGCAACCGCCGCCGCTCCGTGGGGTCCTGCTTCGACAACTGGTCTTCGTCTAGGTGGTGTTTTGCGGGCATGTTGCCGGCCTATATACAACATACAACGAGGAGTACGTGAGAAGAAGAGAAGTGGACTCCGAGGCGAGGCGATGTACTTATAAGCCGTACCGTGCTTGGCCGGACGAGGCAAGGCGCCGGCGTATGACAAGATAAAGTGACTCGCGGGCGACGAGTTCCAATTCGACGGTCAGAACTCCGGAGGCAGACGCCGTGCCTCCTGGCTCATGAACCATGTGCGGGATGGGAGGGTGATTGGGAGGGAGGTCGTCGTGGAGGGGGCTGTACGACGCACCCGGCGTTTTGACCCAGCTATGTTTAGATCGACGCGTTGTCGATTAGCGGATGCAGTCACTGCGAGAGATAAGCCATTGAGGTCATAGAGGGTCGATGCTGACTGCGAGGCGGGCGTGATTGCAATGCCAGACGCGTTGCAGATCTCTATTCTTGTAGGCTGCAGGCGATGTATAGAGCTGTGTCGACCGCGGTTCAGAGTGGTATATCAAGATGGACGTGCAGCGGTATGGATATTCTGGAGCTTGGGGCATGGGCTGGAATGGTCTTGTCTAGAAGACCACGCCGGATAAGCAGTGGGTGCCCAGGTGGAAACGGAGGGGGGAGGCCGAAGGCGTAACAGGCATGGTGGAAGAGGACGAGAGGCATAACCTTTCCCCTCCTCTCAGGCAGCCTCCTCGCCACCGCAGTCGATCTGGGATCCGGTTCCAGCTTCCGGGACAAAGTACCAGAGAGTCGTTTCCCCTGGCGGCAACCACCTTTCGACGCAGCTCCAGAGTGGCCGGTTTCCCCCGACTGAGCACCCCAGCGCCGTCCCATCTCTTGGTGTCCGTCACCCGGCCACCGAGTATCCCAGCGGGCCTGGTATGAGTACCGCACCTCCAGATCTGGTTCTAGACTTGTACCCCAACACTTCGGGCAAGCCGGGGCGTGAACCGGTGTCGTCTAGACCTGGGCGTTGGCCGTACTGTGAAGTGAATGTCCCGAGATCAATTCTTTCGTATATACTTAGATAGATAGACGTGGCAAGCAACTCAGGTTAATTGAGCTTTCTCAGCGTACAAGAAAAATCATGTGAGATCGACAGACGGTCGATGCGCTAACGCATCGATTGACGGCAGCCTTCCTAGTGGTGGGCACTCGCTATGGCACCAACGACAGGAGAAAGGAAGAGGGACCGAATCCATTGCATGGGCCTGTCCTGTGGCGTTGTGCGCATACCGCGGAGCGTATGGACAAGGGAGACGGCGAATGGACGAGTCCCGACTCCGAAACGACGCAGCGACCCAGGGTCCCCGGCCCGTCGTCGCTCTGTTGATCGTCTAGACCACGAGCCCATACGGCGCCGGCTATGGGTGAGACAAGGCAGGGGCGGATGTCGCCCGCCAGTGCTCGCGAATGTCTCGCCAAGGCAAGTTCGGAGGTGTCCTGTTCGGCCTGCCATTGCCACCACGGGATGTACTTCCTCCATCCAGGTATCTGAGTACGCTCGAGCGGCCCGTGCGGCAAGGCGAGGCAGGCGAAGGCTGCTGTTGACGATAAGATCCGCGTCTGAGTTCCACAGCGCCTGCGGCCTAGCCTCGTCGCAACGACATCCTGGAGCTTATCATCGACCGATGAGAAGACGTCAGCCGGCTCGGCGTTTGGCCGTCAAGACCTCGAGGCAGAATGGCTTCACGCCGGAAATCTCGTGCAATTGAGCGCCTTCCTTGGTCTGGGTGTTGGCCAACTGTTTCGAAAACGAATAGTCCAGTCCCTGGACGGGGGTTTACCGATATGACTGTATGTAACTGGGCAGGGGAGGTAGAATGCAAATCACAACCGGCTGGAGATACGCGTGATGGCTACCTGCATCGATGTACATCAGGTAACGGCGATAACTCACCGGTCAGAGCATCGTGCATGCTCAACCCGACCAGGCCGAGGTAGGTAAACGGTCGATGATTCGCAGCGCGCTCTTCAGTTTGCGTCCATGTCGAGCAGGAATTAAGCATATCGCCATCGCTTGGTTCTCTCATCCGCTGCAGGCCAACTAATATGAGTTTGCTCATGCAAAGTAGATAAGTACCGGGTGAAGCTGGAGGAGAGGTCCTCGGTGGCCCTAAGCCGAGTCACTACACCATATAGCAGGTATGCCGGGCCATATGCGATAAGTCGGCCCCCGACGAAATTGGCTTGTACCACGTCCCGGAACGTTGAGAATCAAGGCGAGGTTGCCTTTTCTTGTTCTCGAGATTCTGGGGGATTATCTTGAGTGAACTGTTGCGAACGACTTGGACGTTGACGTGGTGGGCTACTGAGTACCATCGACTCAACGAGGGCCGGGGGCTTCCCGCGTGTGCTCCAAAATATATATCGGACCTTCAAAGCCAACACCCATTTCCTACTTTCCAACCAACCCAGCCTGACTTCCTCGTCAATGTCCGATTCTCTTACGTCCATCCAACACATGAAAATGATGAGACTCGCCACGATCGATCCAGCCATGACTCGAGGGTGGCTTAAAAATTGGAAGCGAGAGCCGGTGGCCAAGCTGGGCTGTGCTTAGTCGCCCGCTAGCAGAACTGGTCCCTGAGTCTCCACAGGGTCTCTTCTCTCGGAACCAGAGAGAGGCCTGTCCCTGTCGAGGATGGACAGAGCTTGAGTATTCTTGAACACATCTGATGGCCAAGTTGTTTGTCTTTTTGTCTCATGACACTATGAATGTTGCACTGACACCGTGTTGCACTGGCATCTGTACAGCCTCATTCTGCCCCGATCGGGCGTTGGCCCCCACCAGGGCTGAGGGGCTCTGAGTGGCTCCGCTGAGCCCTGTGACTCCTCTCGTGTTTCTGCCTAGCCTCCCTGACCACCATCCACTATTTATCCGCCCTTCCCGACCTGTTTTCTTTTTCTCTACTCCTCGCCTCCTCCTCTCCTGCAAAATGCGCTCCCTCATCGCGGCCTCTCTGCTGGCCAGCGCAGTCGCCGCGCGCAACATCCCCCGCGACCTGCTCAAAATCCGCCAAAGCAGCAACACAACCTCCCACACCATCAACCTGACCGCGACCCTCTATGGTTCCCGCTTCAACGCCCCCGTCCAGATCGGCGGCAAGACGTTCGACCTCCTCGTCGACACCGGCAGCAGCGACACCTTCGTCGTCGAAGATGACTTCCAGTGCGTCGCGCAGAGTGCTTACACCGGCGAGCTCATGAGGGTTTCCCAATCCACCTGCGACTTCGGCGACAACCTCTACAGTGCCAGCGAGAGCGATTCCTACGAGCTCATCTCCAACGAGACCTTTCTGGCGGCCTACGGCGCCGGCGTCGCAAGCGGCGACATGGCCCTTGAGGACATCACACTCGGCGGTATAACAGTCACAGACCAGCGCTTCGGGGCCGTCTCACTCTCAACAGCAATGGGGCTGGGAACGAGCGGAATCCTAGGCCTCGCATACCCGATCATAACCTCCGCGTACGAAGTCAGCAACGACACCGACGCCACCACCCTCACCACCGAGGAAGACGAGCTAGACGACGACGAAACAGACCTCAGCTTCCTCGACAACCCAGAGCCCTACAGCCCGCTGTTCGTGAGCATGGCGCGCCGCGGCCTCGTGGAGCCCTACTTCTCACTCGCACTCGACCGCCTCGACTCCGGCAAGGAGACCGGCGCCGGCGGCGTCATGGTGCTGGGCGGGCTCCCCGACGTCAAGCTGTCGGGCGCCTACGTGACCGTGCCAGCGGAGTACTACGCGGACGCGGAGTTCCGGGGGGCGAACGGGTCAGAAGTGCGCTCGTACTGGGCGACGACGGTGCAGAAGATCAGCTACGGCGACGACGGCGAGTACGGCACCTCGTACCAGACGATCGTCGACTCCGGGGCGCCGATGAACTATGTTCCGCGCGCTGTGGCGGACGCGTTCAATGAGGGGTTCGACTCTGCGTCGTGGGACGATACGCAGGGCGCGTATCTTGTTGACTGCGACGCCGATGCGCCGGCCTTTGCGGTCCAGGTTGGCGGGACGACGTTCACGCTTAACTCCCAGGATCTGATTCTGTATGCGGGTGTGGACCTCAGGGGCGATGACTTTTGTGTCTCGGCTATTACTCGCGGGATGGAGCAGCAGGTTAGCGAGACCGAGACGGCCGATCTGTATATTCTCGGCGCGAGCTTTCTGAAGGATGTCGTTGCTGTCTTTGACTTTGGGAACTCGCAGATGCGCTTTGCTGAGAGGGACGCCAGCTCCAGCTCTGGCTCTGGTTCCGGCTCGGGCTCGGGATCTGGATCTGGCTCAGATTCTGACGACGACGACGACAACGCTGCTTCCATGCTCCAGGTCCTGGGCGCTGGGAAGTTGTTTGCCATCGTCGGTGTTGCGGTTGCGTTGTTGATCTAGACGCCATTTCCAATCTTACACTATTTACGGCCGTTTATTGAGGCTTTGTATTTAATAGCATGAGTACATGTACATACTTGCATATGCATAAGATGCATGAGATATGTCTAATGATACATACAAACATATTAATTCTTTCACAAACTCCACAATGGGGTACTTGTCTCCTTGGCCTTATCCCTGATATAACACGACTAGTCGTTTGCTCTTGCAAAGGAAGGCGTTGGAAGCAGACACATGCTGGCCCGACCGGAGTTAAGCGGCGATAAGGACACCCCAGGACAACATCTTTGAACAATGTACTCGGCTTCTTGCATTGAAGCGCGGGCTCTCTGCTAGCTTGGTATCAACTTACTTAGATATCAGGAGATGTCCACGAATGGCCCTTGGTGGGTTAGTGGGCTGTCTTATCCCAACTCCGGGGATCGAGACGAGATTATCCCCACGGGAATGGATGCGGGAGTTCCTCCTTCTCTCAAGATGCTGGGCAATGCGATGGAAAAGTATAAAACCCAGCCGTATGGGGTAAGTAAACTGTTCTTTGACTCACTCATCTTGCCCCGGCTGTGCTCATGGGACCATCACGTTGACAGAGGGACAAGTGTCTAAAATGTCATGAGCCTCTTCTGGTATATCTACCAGATCTACCAGGTTGTCTAGTATAGAACTATGATACCTTGAGCTAGCACGCTACCATAATATCACCCTCTCGTATTCCCCAATCATGGAAGAAGGGCTACATCTTCAATTATGGAGTGCACAGAACCGAGTCAATCAGGGAGCGCTATACAAATGCAGCTATAAACCATGCGAGATTCTACATATATGGTTGGAAGAGGTGGACAGATATTCATACCAGGCCATGCAGCTATCAGCTTAATCCACTTCATTAACCCGCACGTCCAAACGGGACCGCTGCTGCAAGCCAGATTTGCCTACCTACTGAATATCTGGCCTTGGCCCCTTTCAGCGGTGCGCGCGCAATACTTTGGAAATGACGGAGTTCAAATGTTGGAGCTTGATCTCGGCTAATCTGAAATCTTAGTTAAGTTCTAAATCAGCATCGTTGTGAGGAGAAAAATAATGGATCTACTCTCCAATGCAGGGGTGGTTCCGCAAACAGCCGGGTCTTGAGTGGTGTAGGCTGAGGTCAGTCTGTCTGCTTGGAGCAGATGAGAGGAGCATGTCTGCAAACAGCAGGGTCTCGATGGGTCTATGGATGGTAGTTGAGGTCGTCCTGGAAGATGCGGGGTGATCGAGTACCAAGCTTTGGAATGATGCAGTAGCTACCTATTGTCCACAGGCGGGAACAAAGCCGACCGATCATTATTCAGGAAGTGGCTCGATGGAGCGTAGAGTACCCTAAGAGATGGTGATATAATGGATGGACCCAGAGATCGATGGGACACACGTGGGCAAGCTTCCGAGGTTTCCGGACGATCTGCCGCTACTTCCCAGCTTGGAGTATAAGAGATTCGAGTTCTACACGCACTCTGTAACTCAAGTGACACGCCTTGGGTCTTAATCAGCAACCAGAGGCCGGCGTGGTGAGGTATATCACAATTGACAGGTCATATGAATGCAGCATAACAGCCGGACAGACAGTCTTGGATAATTTCCTATCTGTGGCGCAGGATCTGGGCCTCAAGTCAAGTAATTAAGTATACTTTTGCCGTGAGCTGTGATGTCTTTGCATCCTCTACCACGTCATGACAGCTGGAGTGAGAAGGGTAAAATGGCGATATGATAATCAAATCGAGTCTATGATATCACTTGTATCACAAATTGCTCTGCCCCCGCTCCCAGCATGATCCTTATATCAAGCCACCCGACACGCCTTCTAATCCCCTTTCTAGCACATCTAAACTAGTTATCTTGACCTTCACCCTTCAACACACAAACCAACTCACCAAACTCTATTTACCAACGCGGACTACACATACCAGCCACAATGACCAAAGACCTAGTGAGTCAAACCAGCCAGGAAATACACTTCCCACTAAGTACTCTTATATCCAGACCTTCGACATCCGCTACGACAACGAGCTCGCGCACGAATACTACGGAGATGGAAAAAAGTTGGCCGATCGGTATGGATGTTTCGGTTCCTCTCTTTTCATTCAGGTTTCGCTGTCTCGCTGTCCCCCGAACTGGGACTGATGAAGGGTATGGCATGCACAGAGTCCGCACTATCTACGATGGCAAGCGCCTCGATATCCCGGATACTTTCGACTCGACGTTCACTCATCCTCCAATCCACTTTATGCAGTATGCTCTATTCCCAATCCGCTAATGGTCCGCCATTGAAGGCACCACCAAGATTACGATTGATTACTCACAAGGCTTTTGGTCTAGGGTTAGGGCGCCAGATGATATCGACATGGGGGACCTGCGCAACGTGGACGTTCCGAACGGGTTGCAAATTGAGATTATGGAGTTTGAGTAGGTAGTATGTGGCTGCAGGTGGTGGATCTGGGTTGAGTATATAGTATATAGTATCATACTAGTGACGGGTACCTCCAAACAAATGATTTCGTTAGGCTCGTTGATGGCTGTTACATATCCAGTGCAGTCCGCGCGCAAAATATCCTCATTCCATGCCTATAAGGCAAATCCGGCTTTGGATCACAGGACATCGGAGTGCAATATTTTACTTCCTCACCTCTAGGGGGATCGGCGGACCTGCCCCCGCCCTGGCGCCTTGGTCGATGTAAGTAGGGTAGTCGTGGAGTCTGCCTGTGCGAAGACCCCGCTCAACCCAGGATATCAATTCCCATATATTCCGCTGGTGCATGGATTCGCTGCAGGGGTCCCGAGGAAATTTCGGGTGTCAGAGAGCTAACCTCGGAGTATAAGGAATTGTTTGCGCATGTGCCATTATCTGAGACCGAGATCGAATGTGAAGACCCATACCGAATGGACTGGATGGAATTGATATCAAGATCGCGGATGTATGACCTCCAGCGGCCCCTCCAACCACCCCAACCACCCGTCCCCTAGATACCTCGTAACGGATTCAATGATATAAGCCCCCGAGTCACCGAAGATCCAAGAATCCCGATACCTGTACAGCAGCACCGCCCAATGCGCAAGAATCACCAGCGCCTCGGGCCGTCTCGCGGTAAGCGCCTCACCAAACTCAACCTTGACCAAGACAGGCCAGGTAATGACGCCATTAATCCCAGCGTGCGGGTTGTCGGTGGTGCTCGTGACGTTCGTGCAAACCTGCAGGGATTCAACAGCATTCTTATAGAGGTCCGTCAACTCAGGCCCTAGGTTGGCGGCGGTGATGCGGTCCCAGAGGGCGTGGAGGGGAGGGTCAAGCGCGCCGTCGAACTTGTACAGGGCCATCCCGAGATCCAGAGCTGGCTTTACGACGCTGTCGGCGGCGAGGAGGAGCGGCCATGCTTCGCGGAGGATGGTGCGCACGCCATGGTGCAGGCGGAGGTAGTGCGCGAAACGGGTGACGAAGTAGTCGAAGTCGTCGTTGTTTTCGCGGTAGATGAGCGTGTCGCAGAGCATGTGGATGCCCATGATCGAGGAGAAGAGGAAGAGCGGGACGCAGGTCTCGTCTGTGACTTGCGGGTTGGAGTCTTGGAAGATGGACAGGGCGTGGGTCTGCAGTTGCGCGGCGTGGTAGTGGTAGTAGTCGCGCTTGTTAGGGTAAAGGGTGCTCAGGTGCAGGGCGCTGAGGGCGAGCATCTCGTTGACCAGGTATGGGGTAGTGATGGCATGCGAAAAGAGACTGGGCAGCCAGTGGAGGAAGCCATTGGGGTCGAAGGTGCGGTGGGTGCTTGAGTAAAGGTTGTGAAAGAGCTCGACGTGGAGCATGTTGACTGCCGGGGGTTCATCGGAGAGCCCTGAGGGAGAAGGCGTGGTGGCTGCGGGCGACAGCGAGGGCGATGCGACCGGCGTGGGAGTGCCCCCGCTCAGGCTGGACACGGGCGCTGCCGGCCTTGGAGTCGGGGTCGAGTTGATCCAACGACTCCCATATTCACAAATACGCTCCGAGGCAGTGCAATTGGAGCAGATTGGGCGTTTTTCGTCGCACTGGCCGGTTAGCTGGGTCCAGACCACCATATGTAGGGATGAGAGCGGGGGGTAAGCACCTTGACATGACGCCGCTTACACTCCAGACACCCGTTTCGAGATTTCTTGTGAGCCCGACGGACCATGGCTGGCAGGCTGCGAATGACGAATACGCGTATTGGCGGGCTTGCAGGAAGAGCAGGCAAATATGGCGATGCAAACCTGGCGCCTAGACGGAGGTCCGCTGCAACAGGCTAAGAATAGGTAAAGAGGGTAGAGAGGGTAAAGAGAAAAAGTCGTCAGGGGCGAATCGGAGTCTCGCCAGTCCGCGTATGCACAGACCATGCACCGCCCCTGTTTCGATATCCTCATGGACGATCCATGGCCCCGGACAGTTCCAAATATACAGGACAGGTCCACTCCCTATACGCGTATAGACACAAGTGCAATCTTGACGATCTATAAGTATCCCCTCAACGCAACTCCTAAATCAAAAGCAAACCAAAACAAGCCAAAGACCACATCCAACACAAGATGGCAAAGCTCGAACCCCTCGCAAGCGGCTACTACCTCTGGCACTATGTCCCCAGCATAGCCGCCAGCGTCATCTTCCTCCTTCTCTTCCTCGCCGCAACACTCTTTCACTCCTGGAAGGCATGGAAGACACGCGCTCGCTTCTGCATCCCGTTCTGCATTGGCGGACTTTGTACGTCCTCTGCCTCTATCATGTAAGCCCAACTAACAAGGATCCGCTCACAGTTGAAGTCATCGGCTACGGCGCCCGAGCATCCTGCACAAACAACACCGCCAGCATCATGAAATACTCCATCCAAAGCGTCTTCGTCCTCCTGGGACCCGTCCTCTTCGCCGCATCCGTCTACATGGTTCTCGCCCGGCTGATGCGCAGCGTCGGGGCGGAGAAATACTCGCTTATTAAAATCACCCGAGTGACCAAGACCTTTGTTACAGGCGACGTGGTTTCCTTCCTGGTTCAAGGCGGTGGCGCCGGCATGATGGCGATCGGCAGTCTGGCAAGTACCGCAAAGGGCATTGTTATTGCTGGCCTGATTATCCAGATTGTTGTGTTTGGGTTCTTCATGGTCACATCTGTGGTCTTTGAGAAGCGGATGAGGCGCTGCCCGACTAGTATCAGCATGAGCATGAACGGAGGCCAGGGGGGCAATTGGAAGGGTCATCTGTATCCGCTTTATGCTGTTAGCGTGCTCATCATGGTCCGGTCGGTGTTCAGGGTCGTTGAGTACGCCATGGGGCAGGAGGGATATCTCTTGTCGCATGAATGGCCGATGTATGTCTTTGATTCTGTCCTGATGTTAGGGGTCATGGTGATCTGGGGCAGGTGGCATCCGGGGAGTATCAGGCAGGAGGCTGCTGGGTCGCAGCTGCTGAGCATGAACAGTGCGCAGAGCAAGGCCTGATCTGGGAAGGACTGGGCGGACAGCGTGTTGGTGGACGCTTCTATTGTCTCTTTTGTATTGCACCTTGTTTCATGGCATTTTCGGTGACTTCTCGGTATCGTTCACAGTATTCCCTGAGTTTCGATATGCCCTTGTCTCCGGCACTGATTGGAAGCTGCGATAGAAAAGCTTCCACATTGCGAATTAATCGTAGATCAAACTGAACTCGTGGGCTACTTGGATCTTGTACGATCGTAACGGCGAAAAGCTTCAGTGCGAAGACAATGTGAGAGATAATCAACCTGGTATCTTAGCATGTCGCCCATCTGATTGTTTCCATGAGGTCTAGAAGAGACTCACCCACAAGCCAATTGGCTTCCCACAGGGATGAATCTGACAAGCTGTAGTGTAGCACGCGACGCCTCTGCACAAAGTCGGGATGATATCAGAGCCCGGGTATTTAACGATCGAATGGCATTGCCCATTTTGAGAGAGGAATCCAAGCGCAGGGACGCGGCTGTGAAAGAGGCCGTGCGACGGTGTATGGCCAAGAGACAGTTGTGGTAGCTGAGATGCATGTAGACAACCAGCACACAGTTGCCCTGCTTGATAGTTTCGGCTGCAGTAGGACGCCCTGGCCGGTACTCCTCTGGGATGGTATGTTTCCAGTCCTCCAGTCGTGCGTCAAGTCCACCGACTCTGGCAAGTACCTTCGAATCGCTCTTTTTCCGGGCGGAGACCGAGTAGAGCTCACGGTAGACGTCTTCCTTGAGACGCGTAAGAGCGGAGAAAGCTTCGTAGAAGTCAAATGAGCGGATGGAGTCTGTGCCCATTTCTTGGACAGGCATCGCGCGATAAAGATCTCCGTCGCTCAGGTCGGTTGGGGGGTCTCCGCCTTGTAACGCATGGCTGGGACAAGGAAGGTTAGATCCGACCATGGGCAGACCGGGGAACACATACTCTATATCGAGTGAACGGGCGAGTACCAAGACAATCTCGAAGTGCTTTGAGCCATTTGTCTCGGTCGGAGAAAGTCCGTGCAACGTGCGAATGGCCATGGGGATGATCGTGCTGGATGTTTGGCTCTGGAAGGTGCCTATCGAATACACGGCCTGGTACCGTGTAAGCAACCGATTTCGAAAGTCCATTTGATGGGGAACATACCATAGCCACCAAAGCCTGTGCGGAATAAAAGCTCGGCGCTTCCAGGAAGAAGGTGCCCAAGACATCATAGCGTTCTTCCAAAACAGGCCGGCTTGACCGGAGAGTCTCGGGTCGAGGGAAGCGGCCAGCGCAAGGGCGGCATTCACACAGGCCCATTTTGCCGGACAGGGCTCCGGCTGAACTGGGTACTCTAGCTCAAAATGAAGCATGAACTCGTGCTCGTCAAACGTAGGGCAGAAGGTGTTGAAGGATTGGAAGTAGATGTTGAGCAGACACCGAGCGTCATCCTTGGCAGGCAGAGGGATAAACGGCCGGCGGAGGGGAGAATAGTCCATGTCGAGGCTTGGATCTGGAGCGAACATTGGTGACAAGACGTCCCAGTCGAGGGGTTCGTCGCCAACGGCATTCTGCAGCCATTGCTTGCCGACCGAGGAGAAGATGGATAAAGGAGAGGGGCCTGAGAAGTCAGCGAGGCACGATAGGAGGTCAACAGGAACAGACCGGTCTGACCGGAAAGCGACCGGGGGAGGTTGAAGCATAGCAGGGAGGAAAGAGGGTCGGGATGCTCCTTGCACACGAGGTCACTGTATGATAGAGGAAGGCCCGGGAGGTTCGAGGTCTGAGGCACCGCATGTTCCATCATTGGCTGCCCCGACCAGAACCAGCATTTCCCTCATCCACAGGGACATCGAACTGCTCAGGGTGGGAAAGATATATGGCCAGTCCATCGATGGCCAAGACACAAGGGGAGGAGCGGCGCTGGCAGGCTCGGCATGGAGGACCACTTCCCAATTGGCACCGCACCTTGCGCTGACGGCACGACTGAGAGGCCTGATGAACCATGTCAGTACAGGCACGGGGAATCGAGGACTCGTGTGCCAGGGTCAAACCTTGACTGGCCGTTTATTGATCCTCTCGGACTGCATGGCTAGCACTCCGTACGCGTCCGCGGGCCCAACAAACCCGCGGGGAAATCAGTTCAAGGGACAAGGAGTTGAAGGCGAAGCTTTTGAGAATTCCAAGCTGAGTGTGAGGCTCAGGAGCGTTGTCAGTGGAGGCCATTCACAGGACACACCGATATCAGCCACCCCCATTTTACATGCCGGACCCCGGGGCATGCGGCCGTATTACAGCCTTTCCAGCTGGTTTCAGGTACAAAACGTCGGCCAATACAACAACCGGGCTGTATGATACCGCAGATCCTCTACCAGGACAGCGTGTACAACCTTCTTGAAGACGATCGCCGGAGAAATAAACGGCATCCAGACGGCCGAGGATACCTATATGAACTACCAAGGCACGTCCAGACCCCTGACTGTCGAACAGCTCTAACAGGTATCAGGCATATCTTTCGACGACATGCGCAAACGCTTCCGAGGCGAGGCCATTTTCAACGCAGAAACCGACGTCCACTTCCCCCAGCTCTCGGTTGGCGACACCCTGACCTTTGCTGCCAAAGCGCGAGCCCCCCGTACGCGTTTTGCTGACCTCAGCCGCAACGACTACGCCTGCCATGTCCGCGACGTGGTCATGACCATGCTCGGCCTGCGCCATACCTTCAACACCCGCGTTGGCAATGACTTTGTCCGCGGGGTCAGTGGAGGTGAGCGCAAGCGAGTTAGTATTGCCGAAGACATCCTCAGTGGCGCCCCGTTGCAGTGAAGCCCGTCGTTTGATGCAGTCGAAGTAGCAGTTAGTATACCCCCTGGCGTACGTGTAAGGTTGAGGAGAAGAGCTGACTTTGTCCATTCAGACGCGCTGGCTCTCCCTACACCCTTTCGATCTACGAACAAGTCATGCTCTGCTTGCACCGAGGCTTCCAGCGCCTTCGTGGCGACGCCAGTCTGACCACGTCCGCCCCCATTGGCAACTTCATCATCTCGTTGATTGTCGGCAGTGTATTCTATAACCTCCCTGGCGATACCTCCAGTTTCTACTCCCGCGGTGCCTTGCTCTTCTACGCCGTTCTTCTGAGCGCGTTCAGCAGTGCTTTGGAAGTATGCCATATCTCCCACCTTTAGTTCGACCCTTTGATCTGGATAGTGTCTAACTGCAAATAGATCCTGACTCTCCATGCCCAACGTCCGATTGTCGAAAAGCAGGCCCGATACGCCTTTTATCACCCCTTCGCCGAGGCGATCGCGTCTATGCTCATAGATATGCCTTATAAGCTTACAAACAGTGTGACATTCAACCTGCCCCTATACTTCATGTCCAATCTCCGAAGAGAACCAGGGGCATGCTTCACCTACTGGTTCTATTCAATTATCACGACACTGACCATGTCCATGGTGTTCCGTACCTTTGGTGCCACCTCCCGCACACTATCTCAAGCCCTGGTCCCCGCGGCCCTGCTCATTCTCGGCCTGGTCATTTACACCGGTTTTATCATTCCCACCCGAGACATGCTAGGTTGTCTCGCTGGATGAACTACATCAACCCGATCGCATACGCCTTCGAAGCCTTCATGGTCAACGAGTTCCGACACCACGACTTCCCCTGCGCAGAGAGCGGCTTCATCCCGTCCGGCCCTGGATACGTGAACGTCAGCCTGGAGAACCAGATCTGCAGTACCGTCTCAGCGGCCCCTGGCTCGCGCTTCATCAACGGCGACGCATACCTAGCTACCTCGTACGAGTACTACAGCTCGCACCTCTGGCGCAACGTGGGCGTCACCTTTGCCTTCATGATTTTCTTCATGTTTGTCTACCTCATCGCGACAGAGTACATCACCGAGGCCATGTCCAAGGGTGAAGTCCTGGTCTTTAGACGAGGCCACCAGCCGAAGATGGTCAATGACCCTGAAGCTACGACTGCTGCCCCTGCAAAGACAGCGATCCCAACAATAGCGGCGCCCAGATCCAGCGCCAGGAGGCGATCTTCCAGTGGAAGGATCTGTGCTATGATATTACTATCAAGGGCGAGCATAGGCGGATCCTCGATAACGTCAACGGATATGTTAAACCGGGCACAGCGACGGCGTTGATGGTATGCTCCCCTAGCCCTAACTGCCAACTCGATTATGGACGGCACGCATACTCACGAACTTAGGGTGTCCCGGAGCTGGAAAGACGACACTACTCGATGTGTTGGCTACTCGCGTTACCATGGGCGTCGTCACTGGTGAAGTCCTTGTTGATGGCCTCCCCCGTGATAACTCGTTCCAGCGCAAGACTGGCTATGTCCAGCAGCAAGATGTCCACTTGCCGACTTGGACTGTCCGCGAGGCGTTGCAGTTCAGTGCCCTCCTTAGACAGCCTGCCCACTATACAAGGCAAGAGAAGCTGGCGTATGTGGACGAAGTCCTGGAGCTACTAGGCATGCAAACCTACGCCGATGCAGTTGTTGGAGTTCCCGGTGTTGGTATGTCTCTTGGACCTTTCCTCCGTCTTTTCGTGTCCCTGTAAATCGGGTGAACTTGGTTTTAACATGCGTTAGGACTTAATGTCGAGCAACGCAAACGCCTTACCATTGCCGTTGAACTAGTAGCACGCCCTCAACTCCTCCTCTTCCTGGACGAGCCCACCTCCGGCCTAGACAGTTAAACGTCGTGGTTAATCCTGGATCTAATTAAAACCCTGGCCAAACACGGCCAGGCTATCCTCTGTACAATCTATTAGCCCTCTGCCATGCTCTTCCAACGCTTCGACCGCCTCCTCTTCCTTGCCAAGGGCGGACGGACCGTGTACTTTGGCGAAGTCGGCGAAAACTCCTCCACCCTAACCAGCTATTTTGAGCGTAACGGCGGGCATGCAATCACGGACGGCGAGAATCCGGCGGAGTGGATGCTTGATGTTATTGGCGCAGCACCGGGCTCACACTCAGACATTGACTGGCCGGCTGTGTGGAACGACAGTCCCGAGAAACAGGCCGTCGTAAACCACCTGGAAGAGCTCAAGAGCACGCTCTCCGTCAAACCCAAGCCCGAAGCATCTCCCGTTGAATACAAGGAATTCGCAGCGCCAACAATGGTTCAGCTGAAGGAGTGCATGCTGCGCGTGTTCTCGCAGTACTGGCGAACCCCATCATACATCTACTTTAAGATCATCCTGTCCATTCTGACAGCGCTCTACAACGGATTCTCCTTCTCCCACGCCAAGAATACGCAGCAGGGCCTCCAGAACCAGATGTTTAGTATCTTTATGCTAATAACAATCTTTGGAAACCTGGTACAGCAAATCATGCCGAATTTCGTGACGCAGCGGGCAATATATGAAGTTCGCGAGCGCCCGTCGAAGATGTACAGCTGGCGCGTGTTCATGGCGAGTAACATCCTGGTTAAACTACCATGGAACTTCCTTCTTGCACTCCTTATGTTCTTCTGCTGGTATTATCCCGTTGGCCTGTACAGGAACGCCGAGCCCACGGACGCCGTAAATGAGCGCGGCGCCATGATGTTCCTCTTCTCATCGTCTTCCTCTGGTTCACATCAACCTTCGCCCATATGATCATCGCTGGCGTCAAAAACACTGAGACGGGCGGCAACATCGCGACCCTAATCTTCTCACTGCTGTTGCTATTCTGCGGGTATGTCCCTGTCCCCATCCACCACACTCGTCGATAACCCAACCCACACTCGCAGCGTCGTCGCAACGCCCCACAAGATGCCAGGCTTCTGGATCTTCATGTACCAATGCTCGCCATTCACGTACCTCGTGAGCGGCATGCTCTCCACCGCCATCTCCAGCACAACCGCCACCTGCGACGCCATCGAAACCTTCCAAGGTTGGGTTACAGGTCGACCCGCCCGCCAACCAAACCTGCCCTGCGCCGAGTACCTGGGCCCCTTTGCGCAGGCCGCCGACGGCGCAATCCAGAACCCCGATGCAACGAGCGCCTGTGTGTACTGCGCGATGGCGAAGACGGATGATTTCCTCGCAGGCGTGAACAGTTACTGGGGCGCCGCGTGGCGGAATTTCGGGCTCATGTGGGTGTATATTGCGTTCAATATTGTCGCTGCCATTGGGATCTATTGGCTGGCTAGGTTTCCGAAGGGGGGCAAGAGGAAGGCTTAGGTCTTGATGGACTCTGGCGTGCGCCCGCGTCCATCCGGCCTTACTGTTGTTGGAACAGCGAGCGGGCTGTATTGGTTGGGCTGTGGACAGTGCCATCCATGGACGGACAGACTGTCCATGACTGGAGGCTTGGGAAAGGGGGTGAGGGGATGGGAGTGGTGCTTTTCTTTCCATTCTCATTTGGCGCTGGCCCTTGGCATATACGCTGTTGAGGCCGTTGTTTGTTTCTGCGAGGCTTGATACTGCTCTTTCCCTGCTGTGCACTAGGGTACCAAACCATAGATGGATTGTGCGTTTTTATAGACTGGAATTCTTCTGCTCTGAGGTGCCATAGGTTGGAAATTCATATATTAGACTGCTTGACTGTGAATACAGATCCAGTTGCACTGTTTCACGGTGTACTCCTCCGGGTACATGTGTATTCTCAAGCACATCACCATAGGACAGAGTGAGTCCTTATGCCACGCCCTTAACCAGCAAAACGCTAGATTCAAGTTGGAGTTTCTGTAACAAGGTAGGGAGAAGACTGCAGGCAGCATATTCAAAGGTTGCGTGGGTTAGCCCTGCGCATGTGGTGCGGACCAGGTGGGCGTTGGAGAACCTTGGTCTATCCATGGTGCCTAAGCTCACCAGATAAGACCGGACTAGCTGCAACAAGACTAGGACCGAGGCTTAGCAGACGGTGCTTCACTGCTTCTTATGCGTTAGTTTCTGATAGGTCCACTCGCTTACCCCGATACAACGTGCTTAATATATGTGTCGTTAGTGCTTACAGCATGCCCAGGGCTGAGTCGGGGTCGAGCTGAACACCTGCTACCTATAAATCAAGCATCCCCGCGCCCCTGCGCAGCCTCTTTCGAATCGTTCGTCATCCGCAACATAGCATACCAAGATAACTCCTCAATACAATGGCGACCCTCCAGCAAATAGCCCTAGCCACCAAGCCGACCGCGCAGCTAGCATACACCTTCCACCCCGCACCATCAGCGCGCACCAAAACCACCCTCCTCGTCTTCCTCAACGGCCTCGGCCTCCCCCAAGCAGCCTGGTTCCCCGTCATCGCGGGCCTAAAAGAACGCACCGACATCGATCTCCCTGCGATCCTAACCTACGACCGCTACGGCCAGGGCGCAAGCATAGACCGCGACCCCGAGAATCCCGAGGCGCACGACTGCACCGCTGTGATCAAGGACTTGCACCAACTGATTACCCAAATCACCGCCGAGAAGCTGAACATTGAGGACGTGGACTCCGTCACTCTGGTCTTCGTCGCGAACTCGATCGGCTGCGCGCTCGCCCGCCTCTACGCACAGACGTACCCCGGCACCGTCGCAGGCCTACTCCTCCTCGACAGCGTCCTCGCAAACTCAGACTTCGTATCCATCTTCCCGGACCCAGATAGCGCGTCCTTCGACGCAGCTTCTCTACCAGCGACCATCACGCCAGAGATCCTGCGCACGACGCGCGCGCGAGTCCGCGCAATCTTCCACCCCGTCGAAGGCGCCGGCGGGAAAGCAGAGGGGTTGTCGCGAGCGAATCTCCCCTCCCTGCTCCCCGATAACAATGGACCAGCGTTACAGGGCCCCAATGGCAAGGGCCCCTTTGTGACGGTCGTCGGACATGACTTTGACACGTTCGCGGCGGAGAGTACGAGGATGGGATGTCCGGTTGAGCTGAGCATGGAGTATGTCAACCCGTTCTGGCAGAGGTATAATGAGGGTCTGGTGGGGATTACGGATGGAGGCAGGGCGAAGGGGCCGGTTATTGCGAGGGGTGCTGGGCATTTTATTCAGAAGGATCGGCCGGATTTGGTGGTTGGTGAGATTGTTGAGATTTTGGGGAGGGTTTTTGCTGAGGTGCAGTGAGGTAATATAGCAGGGGAAATTGCCTCAAGCTACATGTTTGTTATGATGCGGAGTCCTTGGGGAGAATGGTGTATAAGATAAGAGATCAAAAACAGCGATGATAGATGGTTATTATTGAGTTCATGCGGTGTTGGTATAGGACATGCCCTGGGTTGAAGGGTAACCCTAGTATACGGTATGGATCAGCGCAGATAGTGAGGGCGACAGAGCAAGATGGGAAACCAACGGAGTTCCCGGTTCCTCATGCATTCCTCTCTATGCATATCATATCTTCTTACTTCATCCATTGCCTGCAAATGACCCTCGAGAGCCAGGTATAGTCGGACAAGACCCCTCGGCACATGCTGAAACAGAATGTCCACAGCTCTTCGTTTTGCATCGTGTCCTGAATCGGAGATCGCTCTCTTGTTGTTGATGCCGAAGATCATCGGCGACCGCGACGGACTGTCCCCAATGGGGGATAAGATGGTCCCAGCACAGGAAATAACATAACCTCCGTATCAAGCACGGACAAGCTTAAGATCTATAATTACTACCCGAGATGTCTTCTTTGCCCAATTGGACTGGTCTCATGGATCTCAGGGTACCATAGATGGAACATCATGCGGCCATGGAGTGACGTCCCGCAATGTACGTGCCATTTGCTACTCAACTTGCATTCTTAACGGTTGCAACAGGTATAAGCATGACCCTGCAGGTGGGCTCATAAGCTGGTTCTGCTTTCCGCTGGGAAACAAGGCAGGGCTTCGTCACCTACAAACACAACGAGAATGGGGATTGCTCGACTGTAAAGGCAACCATAGCTTGGCTGCGTTGAGGCCACCACTTCCTCACCATCTAGCCTGCTTCACAGCTTTGTCTGCCCTAATGCAGCCTTTCATGTTTGGCCTGGACTCAAATCAGACCTCCCGCTTCAACGGATCCGGCACCCAAGTCTCAAAATCCACCACGCCCGCCGTCCTCTCAAACGCCCACTCTCTGATAGCCTCGAAATCACGACAAGTATGCACGACCCGGCCATCCGCCTGCCATCGGTGATGCTCCTCCGACCACACCCAAGTAATCGGCGCCACATCGGACGAACACATCAGGCTCTGACGCAGGGACTCGGAGCAGTGGTCGAGATGCGTCCAGAACCTCCGGACTTCCTCGGGATCGCTTTCATTGACGCCCATCTCGTGGCCCCAGGCCTTTTTGTGGAGGTGGTGCTGGATAGTCCGGTTACCTGGTTAGTATAAAATACCTAATATGCACTTGAGGGGCTCCGAGGTAATACGCACTAGACAGTGGAGTTGGTGGAAGACGTCAATCTCGACGACGTAGTTACCGGGCTCTGAAGATAGAGGGAGGGTATGGTTGACTAGCTTCGCAGCATCGGACGTCGGGATCTTGATGATTCCATCTGTAGATAGGCATTAGCTCCAGCATCGGGTAAGAAAAAAAAAAGCATACAGTTATACAGATCCTCCCATGCCTTGTCATAGGCCTCACTTGGCGGACCCATATATGGCGATTTCTGGCCGTCAAAGCCACTGGAGAACGTTTGCCTCCTGTACTGGACGATGCGGTTGGCTGGTGCTGTGAGGCATTAGATTCCGTTGGTATGGACGTGCTTCCACCTCGTTCGGAAGGACGTACAGAAGACGGGATTTGGAATCATAATATCCGTTGATGGCTGGTTCATCTTGAATAGCCAGATCACATTGATCAGGACGCTGACGCACAAGGCTGTATGGACGAAGTATTGCCACATTCTGCTCTTGTGTCTTTCCCCGTTGATCATGGACCATTCAACCTCTTCACTGTCGTTTTCTGGGATATCTTGGTACTTCATCTTCTCGAATGAGCGTCTACAGACGTATTGCGACTCGGGCGCCAGGTAGCGGTAGGTATTGCGAAGCTTTGAATAACAGAATAATGGTACGCAGGGAGGAAGGAAAGTAGCGCTTCAGTCTGTGTGGTGAAGTATGAACGCGATGACAAGCTTGGCACTAAAAGATTTAAAACTAGGCATCCGTGAATCAAAGGGGATATCTCAGTCCCTCTAATACGGTCGGGATAGAGGCCTGCGAGCTGGGCAGCAGGGTTCTTGCGAGCGGAAAGCTTGGCTCTCGTATGCGTATAGGGCGTGCTTGTTCAATGCCGATGCGGTGTGACTGCCTGCAACTCTCATGTAGGAAAAATGCCGTGTATGTGATGCCATTTATACCATAAGCACGGCTCTGTCTAATGTTTCTACCATCCTATTGCCCACTCTTCAGCCCTACCTAGCCCAGTATGGCTTCAAGCCCCCCGTACCGCTCCCGCATACGGTTACGCTTACGATCACCCGTCTAGGGCTGGCCGGGGCGTCAGAACGGGCTCACTGCTATACCAATGACGTCCTGGGGGATTCGGCGCGGGACCTCAAAGAAACGTATAAAGCCAACGTTGAGCGCCAGCTAAAGGCCGATCCAACAAACATCTTACCGTCTCTTACAGTTTCAATTTTATCTGTTCAAGCACCTGATACTCGGCTTCAGAATCAAAATGAAGGCCTTCCTTACCACCGCCATGCTCTTCGGGGCTGCTATCGCTCTTCCTGCTGTACGTGTGCGACCTCCGTGTTTCCCCCTCTACCCCGTTCATATACCTATTTTATCCTAACCATGTTAACATAGGACCTCACCAAGAAAAGCAACAACGAGGCAACGGTCGAAGCCGCCAACAGCTACACCGAATTCGGCTGGGTCGGCAACGGGAAGCGTGGCAACCGAGACGCTACCGTCGAAGCTGCCAACGGCTATACCGAGTTTGGCTGGGTGGGCAACGGAAAGCGCGATGAGAAGGCTGCTACTGTTGAGGCTGCCAACGGGTATACCGAGTTCGGTTGGGTAGGGAATGGCAAGCGAGACACGGAAGAAGTCACGGTTGAGGCAGCCAATGGATATACTGAGTTTGGCTGGGTTGGGAATGGAAAGCATGCCAATGAGTAAAGCTAGCACGGTTGTGATTAGAGGTTCGATATAGGTACACGCACGGCCTCAAAAAGAACAGTTGAATTGACTGAGACTGCGGAAAGTGTTATGGCACGAAAACCTTGGAGTGATACTATCCGGGTATAGCTATAACCACGGTCTAATGTATTTGCTGGAAGTGGGTGCCTGAGGCCACCGGCGGCCTTAGGGCTCCGGTAAAGGAAGGTTCTTCCAGCTTAAATAGCTACTTATAAAACTCTTTATTTATTCTTAGAATACCTAGCTAAGCATACTAAGTAATATAAAAAAATTTTATATATAATAATTATTTATTTTTTTTAGTAAATTATAAGCCTGGGTTTACTTAACTTATATACTTAATTAAAAGTTTTTTTTTTAAGTTAACTTATATTAACTAAATATATAGCATTTTCTTATTTTACTTATTTAATTTTATATTTCTTTTTAACTTTACTAGTTATTATAGTAGTTAAAAAGCCTTATACTTAGGGTAAAGGCCTTATTATAAAGGTATAAATATTATAGCCTTATTTTATTTTATATTAAATTTTTTATTTATTTTTTTTTATTTTTACCTTTTTAATTAACTTTTAATTTTATAAACACCTGCTTTTTAAGGCCACACGTATTTAATTTTTTAATAAAAATATGTTTCCCTTAGTAGCTAAAAAATTTTAGGACCTTAAAAGGTAGTATAATACTTTTAAGTTTTTTAATTTAAACTTTAACTTTAACTACTTTTTAAAAATTTAAATTAATTTTTAAATATTTAACTAGCTATTTTTAATTATTAATTTTTTTTATAACTATCCTAGCATAGGCTTTAGCCTATTTAACCTTAACCTTATTATAATAACTTTTTAGGGCTTATTATTTTTAACTACCTTAAATTTTTAATTCCTAAGCACTTTAATTCCTGGCTTTTAAATTACTTTAATTTTTTTATTATTTAATTTTTTTATATCTAGTTTTTTTATACCAAGCTAAAATAAAAAAAAATAACCTTAATTAAAGCAGAAAATATCCTGGTTTTAATATTAAAAAACTAGTAGATTAAATAAAACTAGTAAGTATTTTTAAAGTTTTAAAAAACTAGCTATAACTATTTTTTAAAATAACTAAATTAAAAGCATTTTATAAAAACCCTTACCAGTCCCTTTTTTATTATACTAGCTTTAATAAGTAAAAATATTAAGACTTTTAGTTAATAATTTATTATAAGCCAAGCTAAAAATATAAGTATTAATAATAAAGTTTTAATTATTATTATATTTTTTACTTAGCTTACTACCAAGGTTATTACTATTAAAATTATTATTACTAAGCCTATACCCCTAGTAAACTATAACAAGGCTAAGATTTAATAGTAAAACTAGGACCATGCTATGGCCTTAATTTTTAGTTATTCAAGTTTTAATTTATAAAATCTTTTTATTAATAAGTAAATAATATATAAGTTACTTAATAAGATTAAAAGCTACCTTAAACTTAATATTAATATTATAATTTTTAAGGCCTGGGCTAACTTAACATTTTCATTTTATAATAAAAATATTTTTAATTTTAGTAAGAAACTTAGGGAGATTTAGCAAGAATTTACCTATATTAATATTATTTTTTTTAGCTAAACTTATTATTATTATTTTTTATTAAGCCCTAGGTAATTAATTTAACTATTTTAAAATTATATATTTTAATAATTATATTATTAAATGCCTCCCGGGGGATACCACCATGCTAATTATTTTTTTAAATAACTTTATAATTATTACTAAGTTTATTAAATTTAACTAGAACTAGGGCACTAGTACCCTAGCACTTTTTTTTAATAAAGTATTTAAGCTTAATATTAAATATTATAAAAATTACCTTAATATTATTTAAATATATAAAAATAAGGGTATTATAAATATTACTACATGTTATTATTTTTATTATAATATACTTTTTTATAATTAAAAAACTTATTATTAATTTTATCCTAAGCTTAAAATTACTTAAAAAAATTTTTAGGGTAATAAGGGCGCTAAGCACCCCTAAAAAAATTTTAAATTTAAAAAAAAAATATAAAGCTTACGCTTAAACTAGTATTTATAACTTAAATTAACTTTAACTTTAAATAAAAAACTATTTAAAATAATTTTATTTAATAAATTACCCTAAATAGTAGCTATATATAATATATTATTTATAATTATTTTTTATTTTAAAACCTTAAGCCCTATACTAGCCCTGGTATTAAGGGTATTAACCCTAAAGTTTTTAATACTTAAGGTATTAATATTATTAAGATCCCCTGCCGTGTAAATAGCTAGCTTAAAATTTTAGCTTTAAATAATATTTTATATTACCTAAATATATTTTTTATATTAATTTTTATTTTTTAACTACTAAATAAGCACTACTTAATTAGCTTTAGCTAGTAAAATATAAAAGCTAAAAAGCTATAAGATACTAATATTATTATTTTATATAATTTTAATTTAGTATAGTATATAGCTACTAAAGTTTATAAAATATTTTTTTAACCTTTACCAGGGGCTAGTAATACTAGCTATTTTAATATTAATAATTTTTATTTTTTAAAATAAATTTTCCTAGCTTTAATATTAATAAATATGCTATATTTTTAAAAATTAGCTTAATAAAATAAAAAAAATAGTCCATGGCATGTTGTAGTGGGGTTGCACCCCAACATTAATTCCTGTAGTACTTATAGCCTTGCTACCAGCCTCCTGTACCTAGTTTATTATTTACCTTAATATATATGTTTTTTTTCTTACTATTATTTCTACCTATACTATGTACTATTTAGTCCTAGGTTTTTATTATTATTTAGCTTTTTTAGCTTTTATACTTTAATATTACTTTTTTATATATTAATAACTAACGCAAGGTATATTTTTTTAATATTATAAAGGTAAGAAGGGCGCCCGCTAAACCCTTAAATTAAAAGTTTTTAATATTAATAGTTATACCTTAATAACTTAGGTACCTAAAATTATTAAAAAAAGGGGTAAAAAACTATTAAGGCCTAAAGGTTAAAAAAAATTAAATAGTAAGTATAAATTAAACCTAGTAAATAAGGCAAGTAGGCCACGCATAAAGTACCCTAGTAATTTTTAGGGAAATAATAAACCTAGTAATCCCAAGAAATACTAATTACTTAATAAATATAATAAATTAAATAATAAAATTAGTAAATTTAATATAAATATAGCTAGTAAATTTAAAGTAAAGCTTTTAAGGGCCTACCCAGGTAGTTATACTAGGTGCCTAATAATAAAGTAAAAATATTTTATAAGTTTTTTTTTATAGTTATAAAGTTTTATTTTTTACTAAGTATTTATAAACCTAGCCCTTTAAAAAATTATTTAAAATTTTTAATATATATAAGCTTACTACCTGCTTACTAACTTTTATTATTAAGTAAAAATATCCCACGTATTTAAGTTTTTAAATAAAAAAGGGGGTAAAAATACTAAATAAATACCTATACTTATAACTAAAAATTTTAATAATATATTCCCCGTGGCTAAAGGTAAGCCTAGTAATATTATTAATAAAATTTACATGCTTTTTAGTAACTCCCGCGGTAGTAATGCCAGTGCCTTTAAAAATATAAAAGGTATAGTAAAAAAAAAGTATTACCCTTTATTAATTACCCTTATGCTAATTCCTAGTACTTTAGGCGTGCCTATATTTAATAATAAAAATATAACTAAGTTTTTAAAAGTATATAAGTAAGCCTGTAAAAACTAAAATATTTATAATAAATTAGGGAAAGTTACCTAAGTAACAGGCTATTATAGTTATAGTATTTTAAATATTATTAAAAACCTAAAAGGGTATACTAAATAAAATTAAAAGGTTTTAAAAATTATTATATTAAATAAATACCAGCGCCTTAACTAGTACTAAATTAAGTAATTATACTAGTATTTTAAAAAATTTAAAAGCTAGCCACGCACGTGAATTAATAATTTTTATAGTTATATTATAAAATATAATATAATTTTAGCTTAAGTTATATAAATTAGTAAATTAAATAACTATACTTAATATATTTAATTAACCCAAGGCCTTTTAAGTAACCTAGCCTAATAAGTTTTTAAAAAATCCAGGCTAAAAATAAAAAGCCGCCGCCAGCTTAAATATAAAATAATTAAAAAGTATATATTAAATACCCTGGCAGCGGAAAAACTATACCTTAAGGTTAGTAAAAAGGTTATTATATTCCTAAAAAAAAAAGCTAAAAAAAAAGGCTATATTTTAAATACTTTTAGGTATATAATTAATATTTTAGTAGTTAAGAAACCCCTAGTTTTATTTAATAAAATTATAAGCTAGTAAAAAAGGTACTTTAACCTTGCCTAAAATAATTTTTAAAAAATTATAAAAGCTATTAAAGTATTATAACTAAACTTTAAAATTATAATAGCTTAATAAGCATAGTAGCCCCCCTACCCTTTAAATATATGGTAAATACCACCCCTTTAAGTATTTATATACTAAACCGCCGTGTATATTTCCCCTTAAATTAAAGCTATTTTTTAGTAATACCCGCCTTAGTAGTACCTATTTTAGTAATACTTATTTTAATAATACCCGCCCTAGTAGTACCCGCCTTAATAATATTAAGAATAATAATACCTGCTTAATAATATATTAGTACTCCTAGTTTAAGCGCCCCTGCCTTATAATAACTACTACTATTATAAAACTTTAAAATATTATATAAGCACCTGCACTGTACAAGTAATAAACATAATAAATAAAATATATTATAAAAACCTAAATATTAATAGGCTGCACGTTGGCAAGGTAAAAAATAAAGAACTTAAAATTAAAGGCTAGCTAAAAGTACTAATAGTAAAGTAAGTACTAAAAGCTATTAAAAACTAGTTAAAGCTAAAGTTTTTAAGGGTAAATATTAGTATTATTAAAGCTTTAATTATTAAGCTTATAAATACTAAAGACCTAGGAAAAAACACTAA